TGAAGTATGGTTATTTGCGAGACACATTATTTTATTTCCACTAAATCAAAATAAGAGACATGTGAGAGTGAGTTATTATCTTTGTGAACTGATAATAGTTAAGCAGGTTTCCTATTGTCGGTTTATGTTGTCAGGATTTTGGGTTATTCAAGCTTACTAAAACTATGACGCAATTTAAGATACAAAAAGGCTTTAGAATCATTTCAACTGCATATGTATTGAGGAAGTTTTTCAAGCAAATCCGTAAATATGAGCGTTTAAAGTTAAATTTATTCTTGTTATCGTAAACAATTAACATCCAAAGGCAGAAAATTCTGAAAAGCACATCTGGAAGAATTTATTGAGAACTTGTGAACTATTTAGGAAATTGTGTGGAAAATATTGAAACCATTCTTTTTAACTTTCCATTAAAAGTTTTATTTGTCAGTTCCAAACATACAGTAAATAATCCTGTGCAACTAAGGTATTTTACATAATATTCCCAGTAAACACTATTATTAAGAACAGTTAAATTAGTATATTTATCTAGACATTACATTAGGAATGTTGTATAAAGCAAAAGGTAGTCAAAAAGAGATTATAAATGGTTTTACTGTTTATGACATCATTTGGTTTATTGACGCTTGGAATAACCACAGTATATTATCGTTCATTACAATAAGCGAGTCTTCAGATCAATGAAGATTAGAAATTTTTCTGTGAAGTGGTTTGCATACTAAAGGTTAATTTTGATAAATAACATCTTTACACAGATCATTTCCAAGTTATTCCAAGAGCATAAATGAATATGTAAACAAACAATCTGAGAAAATTAAATAATTAAAGCAAAATCCTATGAAAGGATTTACGCGTTGTTCAAAGACAGCTGGTCGTCGTTCCCTGGTAGTCGATCTTCGGAGGCCTTTAGAAAAATGAGGAACAAGAAAGCTCTTTGAAGACAGAGATGATAAACAACACTAATTCTCGAGTGTTGGGCGACAGAAGACCCACTGGAGAAGGAGGAAAGTAAGGACAGCCCCTCCAGCGGACATAAAGCAGGGTCCCACCACCACAAACGGGGTTTCGTAGACATATATATGCGTGGAATCGAAGCGTGCATCCATCGTACAGTTAACTGCAAAATGAAAAGAAAACCATATTACCAACTAAACTTGTATTTAGCAGGTACCATTACTACACTATAATTATGATCTATCAAAGTCAGGAGAGTTTTATCTCAGAAGATTTAATTTATGATGAAATAGTGTAATTACTAACACAGAATAATTACTCAATAGATACGTATAATGTCGTTACTTTTAGTACATGGTGGTAGGTAGGGTCTTATTTCAATACTTATGCATTTTTCCAAACTTTCATTACCACCAATGTATTCAGCATTAAGAACTGCATTACTATTTTATGCTAGAGTCGTTGTATACACTAGAGAGAGAGAGAGTAGTTTTAGTTTAGGATGCCCTTCACCCAAAAAGGAGAATAAAGCTCATAGAAAACTGGGTTGGTTTCCTTTCTACTATGCGTAACTATTATATTCCCTTCAAATACGTATCATTTCACCACTTATCAGCTTACCAGCTGTTTGGGCGGTCGATCTGTTCTCCTTTATGACCTTTATTGTCCAGTAATTGGAGGTAACTGGTGTACCCTGAGAAAACCTGCGATATTTGATAGTCACACTTGATAACATCCTTATCACATCTCTCACCCAGGCCAAAGCGTCCACACTACTCTTTTGGGCATGCGCGGAAAACTTGGGACGATCTAATATTATTTTGATGAAATCTACTACTCAATAATTTCTGGTCTATAGGTCCGTGAAAATCAATTATAATGCGATCAAGGGAGGGGTCATATATCAGAAGAAACTAGATTGGTTTAATCACTCATTGTTGCTGGTTTACACGCTCCCCCTGGGGCCCCACGGCAAGTTCATATTTCTTTATCAGAAATCACATTTATACAGGTATGTTGTATACAATATTAGTTTCTTGTTGTTTACTACTAGAGATCAACTGGTGGTTCCATGACAAAACCCCAACGGACAAAAGCCCGACGGGGTTGTCATTTGTCAACACTAACCTAACCTAACCTAACCTAAACATAAAAGTGTTTTATTTTATATTTTATATATGGGACTGGGGTTTTGTCCGTTGGGGTTTTATCCGGTCACCCAACTGGTAGTCGTCCATAGAAGAAATAATTCACCTTTATATACCTGTACAGTATCTTCCTTACATAAGACTAACCTGGAAGGCCTTCATAAACACGGTAAGCAATGCCGGTTATGATGGAGCCAGTGAGGTAGATGATAAGGCTGATGAAGATAGTTATCTTAACCAGTAACCGCCCACCGCACCATCCAATAGTGTTATCCTGGAATTCCGCGGAGGGTACGTTGTACTTCTTGCTCTCTCCCATCTGTCAAAACAACGACTTCCGTAATTCTAATAACTTTCAAAATGGATTACCAGAAATGTTGGTAGAACTGTGATACAAGTAGGAATAATGTTGGTTAGATTAGGTTAGGTGAGGTTAGGTTAGGTCCAGCCAGTTGTGTTCCTATGAAATTAGTGAATACTATATAGAATTATCTAATCACTCGCATGTTTATAATGATCAACACACGTCTAGTTTATTGTGTCTACCAAAGTTTTATTTAGGTTTTAAATTTTTATTATTACCCGTCCAAGAGAGATACAATGTATGGTGGGAGAAACTGTACTTACACTTAATGTAGTTGGTCAGATGAAGCCTATTAAATTTGAGAAAAACAGTCGTTACGACGGTGCTTCTTTTTCAACTGCCTCTGGCACTATTCTGTGGTTTACTGATGTTACAATATGGACTTCCACACATCCAAAAGGATACGAGGCCGATAGCGGCTCGACAATTTGTGTTATCTTAAGGTTACAACATGATATGACTTGCTCCTTTTTGGCATGTTTGTTCAGAAATTGAATCTCAAAATGTAGTTGAAATTATGATAATATATTCATAATAATTGTTGCATAGCTTTGCGGTTGATAACTTGTAAAAAAAAAATCTTAAAACACAACTCGGAGCTCTGAAGAAGTGTATGTTCTTATCGTTGTCGTTTCCTGTTAGCCAGTGTAACATCCTATCCTCACGACTTCACCAGCTGGTTACACCTCGTTGAAAATGTTACACTTTGGCAGAAGTAACACATAACCTTTAAACCACTCATACTAATACTTGAAGAAATGATTATATCTCCTCATACTCACGACCGCAATAATTCACTGATGGTTAAAGTGTAGGAGAGTAACACAGGTACTCTAATAACAGCGCAAGAGCATCAACACATTGGTGACTCACTACTGCCATAACAACGCCAAGTATGTGACCTTAATGCGATGCTGTGATGAAACAAATAATACCAATAGTTGTACTAACGATGTTTAATGTAACCACAACAACACTGTTACATTAAGTACAGTATTAACACTAAGATATTGGAATGAACTTGTGTGTGTGTGTGTGTGTGTGTGTGTGTGTGTGTGTGTGTGTGAGTGTGTGTGAGTGTGATGAAACATGCCTCAGGCATATCTGGTCTTGGATGAACTCTATTTGGTAGAATGTTGGTCAATCCGGGCCAAGCCAAGCTCGATCCCTACCAACTCGTCCCTTACCAACTCGTCCCTTACCAACTCGTCCCTTACCAACTCGTCTCCTAACAACTCGTCCCTTACTAACTCGCACCCCTACCAACTCACGCCCCTACCAACTCGTCCCATAGCCATTACCAGAGGCTGACTGGTTTTGTGTTGTTGAGTTGTCCATCAAAGATCTCATTGCAAGTTAGTGATCACATCACACATACGTGTGTCGCTTGATTCGCTTCCCTTCACTTTAATTTCACAATAGACTCTTCATAGGTGTTATCGCCTTGCACATAACACCACTTAAAACATTCTCTCTCGGATACATTCGTAAAGAATAGCCATCGAAATTAAGTTTACATATATCGGGTACCGTATCTGAATTAATTCTTATATATATATATATTTATATATATATATATATATATATATATATATATATATATATATATATATATATATATATATATCATGTAAATCCACAATGAAAACGTGGATAAGATAAATCTTGATAAAATCACACGGGAAAATGGAAACAACGGAGCACCTTAGCTTTCGTCTTTATTCAAGACATCTTCAGAGGCAACTCAGTTGCTCCGTTGTTTCCATTTTCCCGTGTGATTTTATGAAGATTATATATATATATATATATATATATATATATATATATATATATATATATATATATATATATATATATATATATATATATATATATATATATATATATTGTACACTATATAGCTCAGCTATAATTTAATTTAAATTTTGCTTCATTTCATGTACTGAAATTACTGTACTGTGTATGTTCGTTTTTGTTCGATTGATCCTGATTTATTCGGTTCATTTCGGTGACCACTCGGCCTCTCTCCGTGTCCCCTGGTCCAGCAGCAGGTGTAAACAACTGAAATCAAAATACAAACATAGGAGGGAAAGCCCTTTAAATGTTGAAATTACCACGAACAAATCAATGAGTTCATTACTTCTCGAAAAATATTTATCAATAAAATCTATTGCTGTGTAAAACAAATTTATCGTATTATAATTAATATAATGCAGTCATTTTTTAAATATATAAGGTAATATATATGTAATTAATGAAAAGATTTAGTTCAGTGATCATGTTCGTTGTGTTATTCTAACAACGCCCACGCAGTTGTGGTGAAAGGTAACATTTTAATTCTGTTAGGTGCCATTTCCATCACTTATGAGCATATTAACCGTCCAGCCAGTTGAGCTGTTCTTTTATATTTCTTTAATACTTTGTTATGACCTATATTATCTTGTCTTAGTATTAGTGGAAAGCAGAAGCGCCGGATAAAGTCTTGCTGGTTTAAAGACACTCGGGGTAAATGACACTAGTGTATTAGTTACTTGTCAGCTTACGAGAAGGTTGGGCGGTTGGTCATTTCTTTGTTATGCTCACTTGGCATGTATGTACTCATGAATGTACCTGAACATGTCCTTTTTTGGTCAATCCTGGACTTTAAAAAGCTTACAACTTGGTACTATGAGTTCTTTTTTATGTTCACTGGCCAACACCGAAGTTCAGATTTTTTGGTAATACTTTGGAGCACTGACTCGAGATAACCAACAACAGCTGATTAAATTATCGTTTCGGTCATACACCTATTTGGAAGTTAAAATAATGAAGGTCATAATTGTTCAAAACACATCAAACACCATCAGACAACCATAATCTAATCTAACCTAACTTAGAATTCTAAAATTTGCTGGATGAACGAAACAATAATAATATCTATTTCATAGATGTCCTTTGGACGATAATAAATAATAGAAACAATAAAAAACTTTATATTTTAATTATTAGTATTTTTTTTCTCAATGATCATATGTCACCTGCAGTGGGCAGGATATGAAGGATGAGCGATATTGTTGGGTAAAACATGGTGAAAAACTGATCTTATGACATTAAAATTATGTCAACATGTGCTTTATACATTAAGAAATTAATTATTTACTGTAGATATTCCTCAGAGAAATCTGCCATTGTCGGTGCGTGTTGTCGTTTGCTCTTTGTTTACGTGCAACAACCAACCCGCTCAGTCTGAGCGTACTCTCACATCCACAACAAATGTAAAATTACACCATGCTTCTTCGAGAAAGTTGCTTTCATTGGCACGAGCTATCAAGTAAGTACTTTCTTAAGTACGGCGGGGAGTCCGCCCCCAGCTAGGAAGTTAGGTAAGGTTAGGTAGGATTCTTTGGCTGGTTAGGTCAGGTTTTATTAGGTTCTGTGTATTGTCATATCATTTTTGTGTGACTTAGTATCAGCCAAAGAACATCTGTGGAGAAAATGAACGAAATCAAACAACTCCCTCTGGTGTTAGTCATCTGCTCCTGGATTACCAAATTTTCATTGGTTGACAAATAATTTTCAGCAACCTTTCAATGCCATACTTAACCTTACCTAAAATAATATATTTCCATCATAGGTTAGGTTTGGTTAGTTTATCTTATCTACAACAAATCACATAATATATTACAAGCTACTGTGGGGTAAAGATTCGGTAGTGATAATATTAGAAAATTATAAACAAAATATTAATTTATCACCATCAAAAACATATGAAAAACCTTTTCTTTTCTTTTTTTTTACTTTTTTTCTTTTTTTAGTAATTTCCCATTATATACTCTAACAAGCTGGTACTTTTACGTACCGTAGATTCGTGTTCAGAACGAAAACAATTATAAAAAAATTAAATTAAAGTTGTAATTCCTCCACTTTTGGGGAGATATTCTAGAGGAAAGGAATAAGTTTTCTTTTGTAGAAATTTTTTGGAAAAATTGATGGTACAGTATTCCAATATTTTTATTTATTTGATTCTTACACTTCAGCCAGGAGTTTGGTTATCTGGGAACCTGATTTTGCTGACTATACTGTTATCCTCTTCAGGATTATTAATGAGACAGGATCAATCACTTATTTATGATTAAGTTTCACTTGAATATGTATCATCACTAGACAATGTGCAGAACACAAATTTTCAAAGGTGAATGTCACTGCTGAAGGTCAAAAGTCAACCATATGTATTTCTGTTAATGGGGACAGTACAGTACAGGTACCAAGGGGGTCAAGGAAATGCAAAATTTACTTTATGAAAATATTGTTTAAATGCCCATACAAAGTGTGTTTCTCAGATTGTGTCGGAAGCAATGGGCTAATCCACTTATAAAACATAACCAAATCTAAATTAATGATGCTGAGGTAGATTTAAGGTGATGGAAGACTCAAAAATGTAAAGTGGTTGCCAGTAGTTTAAATTACAGTAACTCCGTACTGTATATTTTATCGAGATGTTCAGATACCAAGTACATATATAACCCATATGCTGTATAATGGAAATGATTTATTTCATGTTATTTTAGGTGTGGTTATAATATAGAACATAATGGCTCGGCGATTGGGACGATTGACACGAGAATGCCAACAGTTGCGAGAATCCCCACCAGCTGGAGTATCTTGCTGGCCTGAGGGAGATAACCTCGATGTGTTCACAGCAGGTAAAGTTGACTACAGTATAAGAAGTTAGGTTGAGACTTATCCCAGTATCAACTCAAACTTTAAATGGTAGCATGTTATTTCTTACAAGTAAACCATTTGCATGTTTATGTTAAAGCTTAATATCTGAGAGGATGGTGCACTGTGGTTGACTAGGGTTGCCACCTTAGAACGTTTTTAAATCCAAAGATTTTACCTATGAAGCATGTCACTGTTTGTTTATATATTCACCAATATATAAACTTCTACATTTATTTTTTTACATTATTAAGTTAATTCATCATGAAAAAAATACAAATATAAATGGTTTAGTTTTTACTTGCTTTCAAATAATTACTGTATTTAGATACTGTACATGGTTAAAAACAGCCATTACTTATTAAAAGAAAAATGCTAGGTAATAATAAGTGTTTTTACTTAATTGAAAAAAAAATTCTATACATGCAAACAATAACAGCATTTTTTTCTTAACAGAAAAGAGCTTGGTAATATTATGTTTACCTGCTAACAAATAGTTACAGTACTGTACTGTATAGATAAAAATGGAATATGTACTGGTACATGTGCAAAAATATGAACCACTGCTTATCAAAAAAAAAAGTTGTGGAAAGAAGTGTTTTACCTATACAGTACAGTACAGTACTATCAAATTATAAACATACATGTTCACAAAGGTGCCCATTATTTATTAGAAGAAAAAATCTAGGTAATAAAGGTTTTTACCTGCTATGCAATTATAAATAAACTTAATGTACAAAAAGGAAATCAGTGATCCGCCTTTATTTGCTGCTTCTTAAATGTGTATTTTGTATTGCTCATGGCAACCATGAAAAGAGGGACTTGGTCTTTATGAGACAGATACTAAAAAAAATTGGCACAAGTCATTCAATAGTTAACCTAGAGACAGTTTAGACTTTACCCAGGCTACCCTCATACAGCTTCTTTTATCAGTTCACAGGTTATTCATTAGAGAAAAAGTTCCCATAAAAGGCATTGCTTACTGGAATGGTTAGCATTCTTGAGGCAATATTTAGTAAATTATGTGTACAACAACCTGAGAAGAATGAGGCTCAGTGCTTCGCTAAAGTTTACTTGATCTAAGTTTGTGATAACACCTCTGAGTGTAACTCCCTCATCATATAGTTTATCCTCATCCACTGATGCAAGGAAACCTGTGGCTGAACATAAAAAGTTTTCAGATCAACTTACCAGTGCTGTACCTTTAAAGTGCAGTACAGAGAATTTCTTCGGTGGTGGATTATCATAATTGTACCATTTTTCTAGGTACAGTGAAGCACATTTGTAAACTGGTAGAATATCTCGCATGAAAAGATCCTTAAGTCTTTTGTTGTCTTTCCCCAAAGAATTTGTCCTTGCTTCTATATGTAAAATTATACAGTACAGTACCTTGTTTATTCATAAGGTCATGCAAGTGGCTAGTCTGTATGCAGGCTTTCAACTTTAAGAATAGCCTCATGTAAAAAGTACATCACATGATGTACAAAATACAAATAATTCTTTCCAGTAGTTATGTCTCCTCGAAGAACATGGTCAATGTTAAGGGAAAGTTCTTTATCTCTTAAATATATCCACACTAATGTGGAGCAAAGATCTTCCCCCAGGTTAATGAAGAACTCTTTCACAGTTGGCCATCACTGTATCAGTCTCTCAACTGCTGTGAAAAGAGACAATCACCTTGTGCATACATGATGGAGAAGAGTGTCATATTCTTGTTCCACAAACTCAGAGCACTGTTTCAGCACTAGACGATATCTCATTGAATATTTTGAGAGAGGTTTATATTTACCGTATGTCTTACAGTTTATACAAAATGTGGCAGTAACAATTAGCTTTCAAGAGTTGTGGATTTTTTCACCCATGTTTTCCATAATAAACTAAAGCATTATCAGCTATATAAGCAATTAAATTATCTACATTAAGACCAGCACTTTCAAAATTTTCCAATAACTTTTTTTATATTTCATCAGAATTCTCATTACTGTCCTCTATACTGTACAGTACATCTAAAAGATTATTCTTAACTCCACTTGCAGGATGAGAGTATCTTACAGCTACAGGAAATTTTTCTTATTTCCTTTATAGGATGCATCCGTACTTATGGAGAATGGTTTAACACCATAATCATTATGTACTCCTTGCAAGTAGTGTATCACAATTTCAACCGATAAGGAAGCAGTACATTTTCTGAAATGATATCTGCTTTAGTTCTTTCACACTGAACAAGTTTGGTAATCTTAGAGTCATTCTAAATTTTGGGCTGAAACTTCATCAAGCAATCCATACTTAAATACCTATGATGATGTTTAAAGCCATGGTATATTTTGGTTATTTTGGCAATCATAGTTTTTCATGAATCAAGTGATGACTTTTGAGGAAAGAATGTCTGAATTGTACATCTCTGAGAACTTAACTTGACAGGGGTAGTATGACAGGAGCTGTTAAGATGCTTCTTCACTATAGCAACACCATAATGCTTAATAGTTATTATACAGTAACTTTGACACAATTTATATCTAGCAGTTGAATCATCAACCTTATGTAACCATCCTGTTTACAGTATTCCAATTTTCATTAAACTTGCAAAAGACTTTTGCTTGTTTTCTCTTCTTATCTAGGCTAACTTCCTGATCTGCCATTATGACATATGGAATAAAGGGAAATAGGTAGTAGGTACTCATAGCAGAGCAAACACTAACGACAAATGACTGAAACATACTGTCTGCCTAACTCCCCACCCCCTCCCTGCCGCTCCTGCCACCAGAAGGCATGGGGATCGGAGTTACACATGTACACACTCAGTTGGTTTTGTCCCTCTCGACCAGCATCACAACTTGCTAATTACAGTACCATCGGTTTGGCAAAAGATAATTTCTGGACTCCCTAACCCAAAGCCGGATAAGTGGAAACCCGAGTGATCGACTCTTGTCTAGTCTGCTTTATTCTACTAAAGCTAAATATCAGTCAGTGGTATAGCAGTACAGTAATGTGCTTGCCTCTCACCAGATTAGTTTCATTGGTTTCTGAAATAACCACTGGATTTGTGCAGTTTTGTTTAGATTCAACTGATTGGAAAGGCTGCATGACATCCAATGCAACAAAATGGGAGTTTATAATTGCTTTTGCTGTTTCTAATTACAGAAATTGTTGGAGATGAAGATAGTGTGTATTCTGGGGGAATGTTCAGGCTTGAAGTGGAAGTCCCAGAAAGGTAAGGTGGCTTTTAGTTGATATAATTTGTAAGTACAGGGGTGCCCAACTTATGAACCTACAACTTACAAACACCCGCCAATATAAACGGGGTTAAACTTGAAATTTATAGTATTTTATTTACCTGATGACTTATTTTTTGCTTTCATTTACAGTTACTGTATTTTGTCATTCTATTTCTTCTTTTGTCTTAAATTAAGTAATTTTAGATGTATATAAGGACTTGGACTATGGTAAAGTGGGATTTTAAACATTGTTCTGTAAGTACGGTATGCACATAGCATGTGTTCCGACTTACGTACAAATCCGACTTAAGAACGTCCTCAGGAACGGAACCCGTTCATAACCCGGGGATCCCCTGTACTGGATTACATTTTCCTCTTTTTTAGTTTTAGTTTTCCTTCACTTGTGCAGTAACATTGTTGAAATAAATGAAATATTGCTGGAGGGTGAAAATCCCATGGAAAGTAAACTAAATGAGTTTAAGAAATATTTAGTCAACTTCTTTTTTAAGAAGAGGACATAAATATTGTACTGTACTGTAGTATAATTTTTGGAAGTACAGGTACAGTATAATGCTAAACAGATAACTGTACTTGATAATCTAGATTTTTTCTGGAATGTAGATACCCTGTACAGGTACAGTACTTTAATTTGTTTTAAAAAAAATACAGTTTTCTAAACCAGTACTGTACTTATTTTATCTTCATTTTTAAGTTGGTTTACTTAATAGGGGTGTTTCAATGAGATTTGCTCTATTGTGCCTTGTCTGAAGGATTGTTAGTCCTAAGGCCCTCAGTCTACTTGGATAATCGAGATGGCATAGTTCCAGAATCATCTTAGTCTCTTTTTATTGGACTTTTTCTAGGGATGTTAGATCTTTCTGGAGGTAGGGTTTCCATGCCAGTATACAGTAATCCACACTGGGACATACTTGAGATTATTACAGTTGAAAGAGCATTTTCATATCTTTGTATTCAAAGGTACCAGAATAATTCCCAAAATTACAATTTTCTTTTCTCACTGCTGTCCCCACTTTTTGCACCACCTTCAGTGAATGATATATCACAATGCCAAGATTTTTCTCCTTGACAATAGTATCCAGGAAAGTATTGTTAACAGAATACTGTAGTTGTGATTAAGGTTGTTGTCTTCTACGTGTAGGGTCTTGCATTTCGTAGTGTTAAAGAGCATTTGCCAGTCCTAGACATTTGAACAGTTCGTTCAGGTTTTTCTGCATTGCTGCAACATCACTTTTACTTGCCACCTTCCCATATATCTTTGTGTCATCCGCAATCTTGTCAATGGGACTCAATACATTTTCATTTACAGTATGTCGTTTATATAGATCACAAACAAGGTGGGTCCAAGGATAGAGCCTTGTTGCAATGTGGTGCTCCAACCTTTTTCATTCAGAATATACTCCATTTATTACCACTTTTTGGGCCAGTTTTTAATTCACAGCAAAATCTTGGCTGTGATGCAATGTGTCTGGATCTTAGAGGCTAGTTGTGCTTGTGGGACTCTGTCAAATGCCTTGGAGGTCTCCATGTTCAACGCATCCACTGGTGAGCCGTGGTCCATATACAGTACCGTAGTCTGTTACTGTTTCAAGAAACATGAGTAAGTTCGTCAGACAGGATTTTTATTTTCATGAAACCATGTAGTGATGTGTTGACAAGACTGTTTTCAGTTAGATTATGGATGATGGCATCCCTCAGAATTTTTTTCAGAGTTTGCATATACTGTACTGTACTGTACAGTATGTGATGTTAGCCTGATTGGCCTGTAGTTTTCTGCTGCACTTTTCCTACCCAGAATTATAACCTTTTTGCCCATATTTTACTTACCAGTACCAATCTCTCAATATATCTATCATATCACCTGAACAACTCCTGATTTATTCTCTGCATAACAGTTTTTCACTTAGATATCTTTTCTAATTGAAAACAAAATTTTGAGATGTTTTATTTTTTCAGATACCCCTTTTTGCCACCCAAAATACGGTTTCTCACGAAGATTTACCATCCTAATATCGACTCTGCTGGGAGAATTTGTTTAGATATCCTTAAATTACCGCCATCAGGAAGTTGGCGACCAGCCCACAACCTGGCCAGTGTCCTGAGCTCAATACGTCTATTAATGTCAGACCCTAACCCAAACGACCCTTTAATGACTGAAATTGTAAGTACAAGCATTGGACTGTCAAGGTTGGCTAGATTATAGAACTATAAAGAGTTAAGGGGAATTTGGCGTTACCTTATAAGCCTTCTGCTCGAGAATTTCTACCAGGGGAGGTGGGAATACCCCTAGGTATTTCATTTGAAGGAAAGGATATCTGCTGGATGAATAATTTTATATAGATATATGTACAGTAGCTAAAACAACTATCTGTGCATACTTTGTGGGAAACAATATGAGACCATGGATGAAAAGTTTTGGTATATGAGGGCTGTCACTAGTCACACGTAAAATTTCAGAGCATATCGACCCCCACCTGTACAGATAGTTGTTTTAGCTACTGTACATTACACCTGTTATATGTATACTGTACAGTACGGTACTGTATACATTGCATTAAATGTGTCTATGTCAGGAGAGTGTAACTGGGGGATAAGTTACCATTTTGATTGATTGCCAGGCAGGGGGTGAAAATTCATTCTCTTATAATCTTTTATGTGTATTTCAAGCTGGGAAATATCAGTTAAAACCCTGTTGTGTGTACAGTATTTCTGGTAGAGGAATATCAATTTAAACCCTGTTTTGTTTGTTTAAGCTGAGGAATATCAGTTACAGAATAGCTGACCTTTTTCTGCACATTTTTCAGATTTCTGACACAGGGATTTCAGTTAAAATCTTGTTGTGTGTGTTTCAGGCAGAGGAGTACCAGTTACAGAAATCACAGTATGAATCTACAGCTAGAGACTGGACTGTTAAATACGCCAAAAATTTTGTAAGTATTATTATCTATTACTTTGTGTTAATTTGATGTTTCTTTTATTTTTTCCGCTGTATGTGAGATTGAGCTAGACAACTGTGCATAACGTATTACAGTAGTAGGAGTTTGAGGAAGTGTGGTAGACTAACAGGTGAATGTGGCAGAATAATCATGACTGTGATAAGAAATACAGCATGCCCTTCAAATTCGTGGGGGTTAGGTTCTCAAAATGGCGGCGAATAGTCAATTCCGCGAATAACATTTGCTGACCAAGGGCGGGGGGGGGGGGTACATTTTTACTCCAGTGCAAAGAAATGTATATTTCCTTTATGTGTTTGCCTTTAGGGCAATTTTTTCTTTACACATACAAATAAATAATAATGGGAAAATCCTCTAACAAATAATCAGAAACAAATATATTAAAAATGTGTGAGTCTACCCTCAAGTCCACTCCGTATTTTGTTATTAGTAACAAAGCGTGGAATTGATTTCATGTTAGACTCACATTTTAATACATTTACAGTATTTCTGTTTATTTGTGAGAAGATTTTCCCATTCCACTGTATTACTTATAGTTTTGTATGTGTTGTGTGTGTGTGTGTGTGTAGAAACACACACACACACACACGTATATATTTACAATAGTACTGTACTGGTAAAAAAATTCTGTCTCTAGAACAAATAGCTCCTTGTCCCGGCTGCAAAAATGCCAGCAACTTTAAAGCTACCCTTAGATATTCTTGGGTACATCCATGGTGTCATCCGTGAATAATCGAGGTCCGTGAATTGTCAGGGCATGCTGTACCCTTTTATATACACATTGTTAACAGATTTATTATGGTATGGTGTGGTTGCCTGTACTGTACGGTATTGGTAAATGTGTACGTATTCATTTCTCATTTTCCAGAGCATAACTCTTGTATAGGTACAGAAATTTGGATGAAACTTGGCATAAATTGTATTATCATTAGATAAACTGCACAACTACATATAAATTTATGTATCAAAGTCACAGCTAAAGTTGAAAAAATTAACTATAGCAATGAATGTATGATGCATTATGATAATTTTGTCCCTTTTATTGTACAGTATATTCTCAATTTAATGGAATCATATATAACAAACTCTCGATTTAGCTGCAGGAATTTTGTCCATTATTTTTCACTCGATTTAGTGAATTAGTTTGCTAAATCGAGATTAATTCTGTTAATACGCTCACACCTACGGAGACACCTCAGACACATGATATGTACCTAGAACCATTAGAAACATTATTCATGGTTTACCTTAAACTAGGGGGTTCAGTGTTTGTTCTCAATTTTTTCTCTTATTTCCAAACTTTTTCCAATTGACTTTCTCCCCCACACCACTTCCTTTCTGAGACTTCTGAGAGACTTTTGGCTTGATGTCTAAGCACAGTACAGTGAGTTCTGCTATAACGCGTGTTTTGATAACGCGAATTTGCTCTAACGCGATTTATGAATTCGGAACAATATTTGTATAACGCGAACGCTTGTTTGCTATAACGCGATTTTTGCTTACTATTTCTCCAATTTTGTGGTATTAACTGTGAATATGGTAAAGAAGAATATCTCCAAAAAGCGTTCTGATGATAGAATTCCCGGTGATTATCGTAAAAGAAAGGATATAACACTTGAAGAGAAGCTCGATGTTATCAACCTCAAAATCACCCTTCTCCCCCATCAAGTTACATTCATATTTTTTCAAGGTAAAGTGTTAAATTTACTGTATGATTTCATTATTAGATATGAATGTAACATTTATTTAGACTGTGCTATCCTTTGTGTTAGGCTAACTACTAAATTTTTTCGATTTCGAGTAATCTGCACCTAACCCTATTTTCTCCATAAGCCCTGTTATTTCTATTACGCGATTTTCTATAACACGATATTTTACAAGAACACAATTATCGCGTTATAGCAGAACTACCTGTAGTTAGTTGAATGAGAGGTAGACCGAGAGGTAGCAGTGAACAACACCGCGTGGCATCAGGACACAGGCTGAGCAGATGTAAACAAACCCCACGAGCCAAGTGGCGCATTTGGCCTGGAATTTAATGGAGTCACGCTTGATTTAGTGAACTAGCTCACTAAATCAAGCAAAAATAACAGAAATTTGATTTAGCGGAAATTTAAATTTAACAGAAAGGGATGGCTCGAATTAGTTCGTTAAATCGAGAAAATACTGTATTCTGTCATATGATTTGTAGGCATAGTTTCAGACTCTCCATGAGGTGCTTTACATATACAGTACAGTTTTCATAATGTTATATATCCAACTTAAAAGAATGTAAGTCCTTGTTATGGAGTTGTTTGTTGATCCTCAGATGTTTTTTTCTATAGTAGGCAGATCATATAAATTTTTTAAAGTTTATATTAGTTACTGTTATAGAGTGACAAATGATAACATGTAGATTCCGATGCTTTTTTTCAGATATAGTATATGCACTGTACAGTACAAGTAAGGGTATTGGTAGACAGTATAGATGCAATACAGTATACAGTAATTCCTATTTGGTGTGAGTATTATAGGCTCAATCCACTTATGATTAGAAATACCTGTTGATATGAAAATATTATATTCTTTAATCTAGTCAAATTGACCATTAAACTGTACATCTTTTTTTTTCACACTAGGTGGTGAATAAACAAGATGAACCACAATCTTCAGCAGGGAAACGAAAAGCTGAGAGTGATAGTGATGACGAAGCCAGAGAGAAGAAGGTTAAAACATAAAGGAGAGCAAGAGGCTCACGGCCAGACCCAGACAGGGTAGTCTTGGTGGGGGGGGAGTGTATGGTTTACATAAACTGCTTAAATTAAATTTTATAATAACTAAAAAATTTACATGATAGGATAATATTTTAATTACAGTATACAGAAAACAACATGCTGGTCTTTTACTTTTACCTCATTATTTTCAGAAGAAAGTTTATTAATACCCCCTGTACTGTATATATTACACATTCATCATTTCAATTCTCCAAACCACAAAAGTTAACACAATAAATCAAAGTACTGTACTGTAACTGAAACTTGATGCAGTAAATCAATTTAACCACAAAATTTAACACAAAATATCGAGGTTATTTACCAAATTTAACAAAATCAAGATACAGTCACTCCCCGGGATTACAGGACACTCGGTGTACAGAAATTCAAGGCTACAGAATGCCTTCCATAAGTTCCATTATAAAAAAACTTTGGGGATGTGCAAGAGTTTCTGTTATTATGGAAGGTAACTAATACAGGGTAACAACACTATTTGCGGAGAATTATAGTTAAGGAGGCTGAGTGCATCCCCTTGTGAGATGCCATCTGTGATTCAGTACAGGGTACAGTTCATATTTACCTTATGGAAGAGTCATTTTCAGTTTACAGAAAATTCGGCCTCCACATAGGGTCCAGGAACAGAACCTTTCCTTAAACCAGGGAGTGTCTGTACTGTAATGCAACAATCTATATTCAGGATTAGTTTACATAGCTAATGTGAAACAGTTCTACACTGGCTGGAATTGTTATCATCCAAAATATCTACTAATTGGATAAATACAATCTTATAAGACCTACTAGTTTCGTTGCTTGATTCACCTTTCACAATGACTCGAGAACTTAAGTTCCTTGTCAACATACACACCCAGGTCCTTTTCACATTCGGTCTCAATGCAGTTGGGGCATGTGATACACCTCCTTACTGTTGGTACAACCCAGGTGCATCCTCTTGCACTTTGCAAAATTGAATCTTAGCAGCCATTTCTTTGACCATTCTTGAAGCTTACAGAGATCTTTCTGTAGCTCTTCACAGTCTGTTTGGTTCTTAATTTCCCTAAATAACTTGGTATCATCCGTAAATATTTGTATGAATGAGTGTATAGCATCTGGCATATCATTTATGAAACAAACATACAATAACGGGCCCAATACACTGCACTGTGGTACCCCGTTTGTCACAGATACACATGATGATTTCGTGCCACTAATCACCACATCTGCTTGCAGTTATGCAGAAAGTCTCCAATCCTAGCTAGGACATTTCCCCGAATCCCGTACCTTTCCAATTTAGTTCTCAGCCTTTCATGGGTTACGCTTTGGCAAATTCGAGGTATATATTGTCGATATTTCTGCCTTGTTCTAGAATTTGAGTTCAAGCATCCAGGACGTTGAGTAATTGTGTTAAACAGGAACGTCCTGGCATAAAACCATGTTGACAGTCCTTTACAAGGTTGTTTCATAGTAGATGTTCCATCATTGCATCTCTTATGATGCTCTCTAGTACTTTACACACTATGCTGGTCAGGCATAGTGAAGATTGCCTTTCTTGAATATTGGACTCACATAAGCCATTTTCTAGTCATCGGGGAACGTTTGCTCATCTAGGTATTTGCAGAACAGGATTTTAAGTAGCTCCACAAGCTCATTACACAGTTCTCTTAACACTCTGGGGTGTACCACATTAGGCTTGGGACTCTTATGAATCTTTAGTTTTGATAATTTATTTCTTATACCCTCTTCTGAGAACACAATGTAGGTCAGCACTGTGTCAAACCGTCTTTCCTCAAACGCAGGAAGGTTGTTCACATCCTCTCTTATGAACACTGAGGAAAAGAATTTGTTCACTGCCTCCACCTTGTCCTGGTCAGAATCTGTATAACTGCCATCTTCAAGCCTCGCTTGCAATCTGCTTCTGGAACTGTTTTTCAGTCCTTCTACACTCTGTCTTTGTTTGGTTTCTGGATCTGGCATACATCCTCCTGTACTGCTCATCATTTATCATAATCCACGTCTCGAAATCCTGAGTTTTCTTCTTAATTTTATCAACCGCTGCATGGTTCATGTGTAACGGTCTCCTTGTATTCCTGGAGACACTGGGTTTGGTCTTGGGTATATATATTTATCGATCAAATTGCTTACTTACTGGCTATGGTATTCAGCGTATAGTAGTGTCTGTGTTCTTATATCTTAATAAGTCAGGCCAGTGCATACTTCTTATCTTCTCCCTCATCCTGTTATAATTTCCTTTTGATATCTGAACCTTGGCATGGGTTTGTCAAGTAACAGTTAAACCTGAAAGACAACGTTTCGTGGTGACTGGTGCCAACGGGGGCTAGGTGCTCCAGCTTGACCACCATAACCTTCTCGTTAGTTATGATGAGGACCAGCAGTTTGGGTGTTTGCTCCCCCATTTAGTAAATCGGATCTTTTAACATGTTGGAATCGAAAATTGGTTCAAGAGTCTCTACAAAAACTACAACATGAGTGGCTGGACTATTTAGGTCACCTGAAGATTAGGTACCCCATTTCATTTCTCATGAGGATTAAGCTCCCAACTTAGTTTAATCTAACCTAACTAACCTAGCCTAACATAACTCCCTATGTAGCGTTAGGGTGTTTATTCATCTAGTAAAATAAGGGGGGCCTAATCTTCAGGTGCTCTGTCATGGCAGTTCCACCTGAACATTAGTTACTGTTCCTCGTTGGCTTACGTACAACAAATTATTGCCCAGCTACATATATACTGTAAATATTAATTCTATCACATAAGAAATTAATTTTTTTTTAATTATGAAATCTATGTAAATAAGAAAACAGTCTTAATTTTAGACTGAAGTGAAAATAATATGTTTGACCACACGATATTTTTTCCCCTCTCTCTGGCTAACGAATCAACCTATCACACGCATTCTCTCCACTAGTTCAGGTGATGACACATCAAAAGTCACATAATTGTTGCCAGTAAGTGAATATAATCGTGTTAGTATTTTCGAGTTATTCACTAAATTTATCTCATATGTTTGCGTTATTAGAAAATAAAACACATATGTAAATTAAAACAATAAACTAGTATCTGAATTTAGTGTTCTAGGGTGTAAATATTATAATATACCTTCCATTACCGACAACTCAGTCAGGTTATAAGAACCCCGGGGAGCGACCTGTACGCCCACTGTTCTTCAGATCTCGGTACAGTCAACGAACGCTGGACTGCGTCACAACCTCCCCGAGGCTCGTGTACACTGTTGACATTGACACCAAACACAAGGTAAGACGTGTTTTCCTCCTCCTCTATCACACTCTTCTTCCTCCTTCAAACCTCGTCTTTTTCCTTCTCTCTTCTTCATCTTCCTTCTTCTTCCCCTTCTTATATCTACTCCTCTTCCTTGTTCCTCCTCCTCCTCTTCCTTATTCCTTCTAAAATAGGTTCTTGCTTCTCCTTTTTATCCCTTCTTGTTTTTCATTTTATATCTCTTCCTTCTTCCTCTTTCTCTACTTCTCATCCCTTTCTTCGTACTCTCTTCTCTTTCCTCCATCCTCTTCCTTCTCCTCCCCCTTTTCCTCCTCCTTCCTTCTTTGTCCTATTCCTCCCTTCACCCTCCTATCCCCTCTTTCCTTTTCCACCTATTTCGTTCTATTTCTTCCTTTCCTCTGTTTCTTCGTCGCGTGTTCCTCTCTCCTCTTTCTTCCTTTTATCGATATTTGCTTCTTCCTCCTGTATTCCTTTTCTTCTTCCTCCTCTTCCACATTCTCCTCTAACTCCTTCTTTTACTTCCTCCTACTCCTCCTCCTCTTCTTTGTTCTTATTGTTTCCCTTGTTCCCTCTTCCTCTATTTACTTCTGCCTCTCCTCATTTTCGTTATTTATCCCCATTTCTCCCCCTTTTCCTGGTTTCTCTTGTCTTTCTATATTTTCTCCTTCATTCTCCTCCTCACACCTCCTTCTCCTTCCTTCCCTTCCTTATCACCAACCTATTTCCCCTTCCTCTTTCTTAATATTTCTCTTCCTTCTTCGTCCTCTTCCTTCTTTTTTCCCACCTCCTCCCCCTTTCCTCCTTCGTCCTCTGTGTTTATTCTTCCTTCTATTCCTTGTTTTCCTTCTTTCATCCACTTTCGTCTTTTTTTGCTCCTTTTCTATATATTTTCTTCTTCCTTATCTTTCCATTTCTTATTCTTCCTCTTCCTGTTTTTCCTTCACATTATTTTTCTTCCTCTTCCTCCTTCGTTATTATTTTTCCTCCTTTCCTCCTTCTCATTTTTCTCTTCTCTCTTCACTACACCATCCTGTTCCTTCGTGTTCTTCTTGTTTCTGTTTTATTTATCGTTCTTTTTCTACCCTGTATCTCTCCTTGCTCTTCCTCCTTCTCATTTCCTCCTCTTCTTCCTCCTCCTTCTCCTATTCTCTTTCTTTCCTCCTCCTCTTTCTCCTTCTGTTGCACTTGCCTCCTCGTCCTTCATTTCTTCATTTATTGTTTAAATTTATATATTTTTTTTCTTTTTTGTTAGTTTCTTTTTCTCTCTTATTCGTTTCTTTATCATATTACCCCTTCTTATTTCTCTTCACTTAGTTTTTGTCTCACATTGTCCATTTCTTTTTTTATTCCTCTTATTCTTCGTCCCATTCCTTATTTTTTCTCTTATATAATCTTCTTTCTCTTCCTCTTGCGTCTGCTTCATTCTTCTTCTCCCTCTCTTCTTCTTCGTTCTTCTTTTCCTTCCTCCTTTTTATCTTTCTCTTTTTTGCATCATATTTTTTCAACCCCTCTTAATTTTCACCTTCCCTGTTCTTTGTCGTCTTCCTCCTTCTTCACTTCCTCTTTATTCATCGTCCTCCTTCTCTTTCCTTTTCATTCCCCTTCTTTCTCTTCTACCTCCTCCTACTTATTGTTTCTTTTCCTCCCCTTCTTTGTTTTCCTTCTTCCTCCTCCTCCTCTTTCTTCCCCTTTCTTCTTCCTCCTCCTCCTCTTTCTTCCACTTTCTTCTTCCTCCTTAATTCTTATTCCTCCTCTCCCTCGTGTCTTTATCTTACTACCTATTGTTCTCCTTCCTTCTCTTCTTTTCTTTATTTCATCTTCCTCATGTTAGTCGTTCCTCATTTATCATATACTTGTTCCCTCTACCTAAATGTTTACACCTGGGCTTGTGATAATTGAAAGGTGTTGACGTATTTCTTCTCTTACCAACAGACAAACAGACAGACATACAAGAGGCAGCAGCTGTACAGGATGTCTGGAAGTACCAAAGATGCTCAGAAGGTAATGTACACACACACACACACACACACATTACTAACTTGTACAAATTGATGAAAAAATTAATATATCTGACACAACAGGAAATAGTATATTGATGAGTTTGATTTTATAACATTTGTCTTATGTCTTTAATAATTGTCCAATTTGCTTCCTTCCTTCCTCTTCCATCATCCGGCTCCCTCCTCGATCTTTCTCCCTCCTCCCTCCTTGATCTTCCTCCCTCCTGCATCTTCTGTCTACTTTCCTCCTCCATACTCGATCTTCCTCCCTCCTCCATACTCGATCTTCCTACCTCCTCCATCTTCTGTCTTCCTCCCTCCTCCATCTTCCGTCATCCCCCTCCTCCATCTTCTGTCTTTCTCCCTCCTCCATCCTCGATCTTCTTCCCTTCTCCATCTTCCGTCTTCCTCCCTCCTCCATTTTCTGTCTTTCTCCCTCCTCCATCTTCTGTCTTCCTACCTCCTCCATCCTCGATCTTCTTCCCTTCTCCATCTTCCGTCTTCCTCCCTCCTCCATTTTCTGTCTTTCTCCCTCCTCCATCTTCTGTCTTCCTACCTCCTCCATCCTCGATCTTCTTCCCTTCTCCATCTTCCGTCTTCCTCCCTCCTCCATTTTCTGTCTTCCTCCCTCCTCCATCTTCCGTCATCCCCCTCCTCCATCTTCTGTCTTCCTACCTCCTCCATCTTCTGTCTTCCTCCCTCCTCCATCATCTGTCTTCCTACCCCCTCCATCATCCATCTTCCTTCCTCCTTCCGTCTTCTCACCTTCTCCCTCCCATCCTTGTCTGTTAGTTCTTTCTCTACTTCTCTTCCATCATTTATTCCCTTATTGTTTGTTTTCCTTCATCTCTTCCTACGTTTACAGGATCATGGGAGAGATAAATGTACCTTAGAGTTTTGTTGATTCATTTCCTCTATTTTCAGGAGACGTCCCCAAAGAACTCCTCGGTAAGGTTGGAAAGTGGTATCATGGTGTGTGTGTGTGTGTGTGCGCGGGAGGGGTGGAGGTAGGGCCAGCGCAGAAAGGACCTTCCAATGGAACAACTGAATTTATAGTCTGTTATTCTCCTTTGTCGTTCACAGTCAATCAGTCAGTCGGTCAGTCAGTCGGTACAGAAAGATATTATAGAGCTGAACAACACAGTCATGAATTATATACTTTTAGCTTTGGTATATATTATTTAAGTTGGTATCTTATACTTCATGTTTTATTATTTTTTATTTTACTTGTGTAACTCAATCGTTTTATCTGTCACTTAGATAATTATTTATTAATTATTTATTGCCTTTAATATCTGTATTATGTGTTATATTATTGTAAGTACCAAAAGTTGTTGATTTTTTTTTTTTTTTTTTACACTTATGTTTTATTTGTCACCAGGTGTGTGGGGCACAAGGTGGGGCACAAGGTAAGACATAATACAGTATGTGTTCTGTTGGTCTCTCTGCTGAAACTCCTTAGTTCGATGTCTTCTTAGGGGAAACATTGACACATAGATTTATGCCTTCATGTACAACACTTATTTAAATCAGTTAACAGTGTGGATGCAACTCTTCAGTCTTCGTTATAGGAGACATTGTGGTCAGCAGTGCAGTCGACCATATTTCCCAGCTACAGATGGGTGGATTAAGGGGTGCATCCTGTTTCTCTATATGAGTTATAATATTAGACAAACGTACAGTACAGTCAGATAGAATTTTGAGTGAGGAAATGTGTTTATGGTGGATGTTTGTTTCTGTACAGTAATTTTTTGATTGTCTTCTTCCACATCGGCATCTTTACCACCTTTGATACGATTCTCTCTCTCTCTCTCTCTCTCTCTCTCTCTCTCTCCGCATTACTCAATAAAATCAATACTTTCTTTCTCTTCTTCACTTCATCATCCAGTGGTTCATGCCATGATTTTAATTCCCATTTATATAAGCTAATATTCAGTATCACCCTGCATATACCTTCTCAGTTACTAAGCAACGAGTTACTTTTCTTCACACCTTCTATATAAACTTTCACGCTACAAACTCGTCCTAACCCATTCATTAATATCTCTTATGTTTATTGCCAATCTCACACTATTGTAACCGAACGTCCCTCTTAACAAACTCCTATATTTTATTTTATCCATCCATGAAAATTTTTGGACCAATCGCAGCAAATTTACACCTTGAACCGGATTCCTTATTTTCCCTGACGAACTCCTTACACGTTTGAGAAGCTTTATCGACCACAGCCTAAACAGAATAATCCGACTTTTAAATCTCTAAATTCTAGCAGTTGTTCATTATAACCTCGCTATTTTTTTCCACAATAATTTGTTCTCTTGTTCTTACGAATAACTCACTTTCATTGGTGTCCTTCATTCTCACATGATTCACTTCCCTCTACAACATCTTCATGATAAAACTAATGTCAATACAGTGGGCACAAGCCCCAACTTTTAATTTTGGGTCTATTTTCAGGGAAATCCTTCACTCCACCGCAGAGGAATGTAGAAGAAACTAAGAAGAATGACAGTAGCTATCAACTATCCCCCATTGGATTGATGCGCCTTTTCCAGACACCTTCGCCCCAAAAGTCATCATCCAGCAACTCATAATGTGATGCACATACACACATAAATACAGACACACCGCACACATACACACATAAATACAGACACACCCAACACACACACACATACACACGCACACAAACACACATAGATACACGCACACACACAGACATACATAGACATGCACGCACGCACACACACACAGACACACATACACTTACACAGACACAGACACACATGCATACATACACACATATACAGACACATACGAATACACACATTTACATGCACATACATACACACACATATACACCCAATACATACACATACATAAACACACACATACATACATTAATTGGCTGTAGGATCAGAAAGGCTTCTAATTCCAAACTTACAATTTAGCAATCAGAAGTGTATTAATTGGTGAATATAATTGGTGAACATAATTGGTGAACATAATTGGTGAACATAATTGGTATTTCTGGTCTGAAATAAAAATTAATCTTAAAACTTATTATAATAGTTTCTATGATAATCCTTCTTGTAATTATTGTGTATTGTTAAGTGATACTGAAGTAACTCGATGTTTACACCCTAAGTCAATCCGCTAACCTGAAAAACGCGGGAAAACCTCATAAAAAGACTAAGGTGCTCATTTATGGGAATTATATGAATAAATAAGTAACAGTAATGATAAATTTACACGATATTTTACATATTTACAGATATTAGATTATATTTGTTGATGAGGGAGACGAGTGTAGCACAAAGAAGCCATCTTATGATTATATATTACTTTATATATGATACGGTCACTGCCTGAAGGTTATATAATATTCTATAATAATTCACATCCTTTGAGAATCATTTATGTTAAAGCTGCTAAAACACGATTTATATAGCAGTCTCCTATAATCGACCAATTAAGAAAACATTCACAGAAACATAATTACCAGTTGTTTATTTATTGAACAACGAGGGTCAGTTAACAGTGAACTGCAATATCAAATTACATCTTCAAGCGCTGTTGGTGATAATATGGCATAGCAAGGTGATGGTGGTAATGGTGGTGATACTGAAGATGGTGGTGATGGTGGTAATGGTGGTGATACTAAGGATGGTGGTGTTGGTGGTAATGGTGGTGATACTAAAGATGGTAGTGTTGGTGGTAATGGTGGTGATACTAAAGATGGTAGTGTTGGTGGTAATGGTGGTGATACTAAAGATGGTGGTGTTGGTGGTAATGGTGGTGATACTAAAGATGGTGGTGTTGGTGGTAATGGTGGTGTTACTAAAGATGGTGGTGTTGGTGGTAATGGTGGTGATACTAAAGATGGTGGTGTTGGTGGTAATGGTGGTGTTACTAAAGATGGTAGTGTTGGTGGTAATGGTGGTGATACTAAAGATGGTGGTGTTGGTGGTAATGGTGGTGATACTAAAGATGGTGGTGTTGGTGGTAATGGTGGTGATACTAAAGATGGTGGTGAATGGTGGTGATACTAAAGATGGTGGTGTTGGTGGTAATGGTGGTGATACTAAAGATGGTGGTGTTGGTGGTGTTGGTGGTGCTACTAAAGATGGTGGTGTTGGTGGTAATGGTGGTGTTACTAAAGATGGTGGTATTTCATATTTCTATGTTTCCCTTATTATTCGTATTTATTTCCATGTTATTTTTATATTATGTTTATTTCGTATAATGTAGGTATAAATGATTGTATTATTTGTGTTAATGTTTGTGTCAGCTAAATAAACTACTGCACTGTTTGTTATTGGTATCGAAAACAGTTGCTGACCCGAATTGGTCTGACAACGAATCCAAATGATTCACAGGACATGATAATGAGTCAGAACATATCGAATCCTTCTAGTTTTAACTTCAGTTGACCAATCATCATCGTCCCTGAGCTTATAGTCCACTTAAAATCCAAGAAGCTTATAGCCAATGAGAATTCTGTGTTGTCCCACAAAGAGAGTTCTGTTTCTCCTAATTTTTATTTTTGTTGGACTAGTGAATTACTAACCTTGTTGCGCGCTTAAAGACCCTCGTTATTGAAGCGCGGTAATAACATAACAGCAGCAGCACACCCCTGGGAGACTCGCCTTACCACCTCCAGTTTTCACACATTACTTGGTTTACTCTTTGCACTACAGGACCTTATTTACTGCTAAGTGTCTTGCTGTCTTCGTCTCTCTCATATATCAGGTAGGGTAACTTCAGCCATTGCTCTCAACCTGAGGGTATTTTTGCATTCACCACTCACGCTCCTACGCAGAGCCCTCCCCAGGGGGTGGCGAGCCAGGGTGACCATGAACTTTTTCATTACATCCAGACTGCCTTATTTATGTTTATGCTTATGTTACAAATCAATTTAAAATAATGTTTTATTTTCCGTGTATATGCATGCAATAATATCGCATTTTCGAATCTCATTTTAAGTATTTTCAGTTTTTCTAGAACGGTTATCACATACAGGTGAAGTAATTTTATAGTATTGCAACCCAAAATATAGAGAAACTGAAAGATCGGCAAACCGTAGATCGCATGTGATAACTGTTCCAGAATTGTGAAAATACTGTACTTAAAATGACTTGACCCGGGCCCTGCACCCCTCTAGGGACGGCACTACTCCTATACGTGACTAGAGGTAAATACTTTTCCCTGTGCGCTTGTGAGTGTTCGTGTGGTGACTCCTCCCCGTTGTTCATATTTATGTTGTTTGCATAACCTCTATTCTGAACGGGTTTACTGCCATATATCATTATTCTTCACGTTAAATATTTATGGAACAATTATTTCTGAATTTACTGTGTTGTCTTTGACTTAAGTATAAATAGTTTTAAGTTAATTATAGTTACTGTTGGTTTTATACTTATTCGTTTACTCCTCCACGTTTACCCTTGTCGAGAGTAATAATATTTGAGACACTACTTTATGTTATATGGAGGAGTAGAGCTGACCATCTCTTACTGAACCCTGTAGGTCTCCTCACAGTTAGGCTCATACATACTGTAGACTAAACAGGTTCTTTGGTCATTGACAACTTTAATATAGAACTGTGGTGGTGGTGGTGGTGGGAGTGATGTTGATGGTGGTGGTGATAATGATGGGAATGATGGTGGTGATGATAATGGTGGGAGTGATGGTGGAGGTGATAATGGTTTAGTTCTCAAGTGATAGTGATGGTGGTGGGAGTGATGGTGATGGTGGTGGTGATCATGTTGGGGTGACCCTTAGCTGGTGGTGGTAGTGGTGGTGGTAATTATGTTCAGGTGATGTTGTGATGGTAGTGATGATCATAGTGATGTAGCCTGCTAGTGAAGGAATGAAGGGTAGTCAGGTTCAGGTGGCTATTTTGGTGATGAGGATGTGGTGATGATGGATTTATCTGGTGGTTGTGATCATCGTGAGGTATTGGTGGTGATTGGTGATGATGATGTGATATCCTGGTGATTTTCATTGTAGTGATGGTGGTGATTTGTGGTGTTGTTGGTAATCATGGTGATGTGGCCTTGAGGTGGCGGTGGTAGTCAATGGTGCTGGTGATGATAGTGGAAAAGTTAAGTTTAGTGGCGACGGTGTTGTTAGAGAGAGTGGTAATGGTATTGGTGGTAGTGGTGGTGATGGTGGTTATTCTGGTAGTTATGTTGGTGGTGGTATTAGTGAAAGTGGTGGCGGTGTTGGTTGTAGTAGTCATAGTATTGGTAGAGGTAATGGTGGTGTTGGTCATAGAAGTAGTGTGGTGGTGGTGGTGGTGATGGTGGCTGAGTGCTCCTCATGTGTGTCGTCTGTGGCGGGAATGTAAACATTTCAGTCAAGCGCTTCAGTGGACGAGCGGTGCTACTGGATATTTATATACAGATATAAACAAAAACACGTCATTGTTGATAATTGTTTTCTTCGTAATTACACATCCTATATAGTCATCGGTTACACCTTTAATACAATAATAAAGAAAACTTAAATGACTAAAACAATGGCATCAGTATTAGGTGGAGGGCTGTAGACGGTGTTATGATACGTCAGCGCTATGTTCGCCGACCAGTGGTAATAAAAACCTGCCTCCAGAAACACCGTACACCACCTGCACGTAATTTTATATCCATAATAATAAACGTGATCTCTCTAGTGACTTAAACAATAGCCTATATTCACTACTGGTCCGGTTGTTGCGAAAAATAATGTCTGAGTCTTGGAGAGATATTCTTCCATCGCTAACTGGCATGAGTCATTGAAGAAGCCGTTGTTGGGTGAAGATAAGGATAAGGGTGAACGTACACAACCACACACTCCCTGCTTCAAGTACCCGCAAGTGAGGGCCTTGGTAATATGGGACGCGCAGACTTCCCAGCCAACACCATAATTATATACTTGTCTTTAACTTGTGAAGTACTGTTTAAAGGAGGGTACAGTGCCACACAAGGGAGGGTACGGTATTACATAAGGGAGGGTAAGGTACCACACAAGGGAGGGTACGGTACTACATGAGGGAGGGTAAGGTACCACACAAGGGAGGGTACACACAATAACGGTGTAACTTTTAGTCTGCGCTGTCACAGAATATCTACTTCCCAGTTATTATTATACTCATAATATAATATACACTCACTTTGAATCATTTCCTCCCCCCCCCCCCATTTATTATTATACACCTAGCCTAACCTAACCCAACCTAACTTAGCCTAACCTTAACTAAATGTATATAAAATCCTGACTTTTTGGCATAAAAATAAATGGAATATGTGGATCTCTATACCATATACACAGCTAGATAATGATAAATATTTCTAACTGGGGTCATAAACAAAGTTAGTTCTGTCGCCTCGTATGACTGGGGAGTGGAAATCCAGGGGAGTGTATATTATTCGCCGCAAAGTTGCTCCACTCTCTCTCTTTTACAGATACTTTAATTAACGGGCAATATTCGATTGATTTGGCATCCTGTGCACCGCCGGCAAGGCAGTGGGCTCGTAACACTCGTCTTGCCCGCGGTGCCCACCGTTTCTGTGTGGATGTCGGTCACATTAGAATAACTCGTCATAGTACCTCCTTCTTTCCTCACACAGCCAAACTGTGGAATGCTCTGTCTTCTTCTGTTTCCATACTCTTACAATCTGTCTCATCTCAAAAAGCTTGTTTTTCCTGCATCTTCGTGGTGTAAATTAAGTCTTTTTCTCTTCTATTGTTTTCAATCTTATTTTTTCGCCCCCCACCCCCCCAGGCCCCGTTGTGGGTTGATGACCTGTGCCCGGGTGGGCTATTCCACTCATATAACAAAACAAAACAAAACAGAGGGAGTGTACTGTATATTACCCGTATAATATAGACTATGGGAGTGAATGTTATGCGTATACTCATGACAAGGGAGTGCTTATTATACGGAGAATTATGACTAGGAAGTGGAAATCCAGGGAGTGTAAATTATGACACCGCGTCTTCTCTGGAGCGATCAGCCGTTAACAGTAATAAAGGTCATTCATAAAATCATTGGACATATCAGTCGCCAATGCAGGGAATTATGAACATTATTTTTGCTAGACGAATTGACCATTTTCCTCTCATACATTTGAAATTTGTACAAAAGAGCCTCTGACTATTCGTAATATTTATGAAAAGAAAAATAGTGTCGTTGTTTAATTTCTTCATCTCCTCACTGACTTTCCGTCCTGTAATAGTTTATTGCTATAACTATAAGGGAGGGTATACATACAGTAAGGGAGGGTACACATAAGGGAGAGTACACATAAGGGAGGGTACACATAGGGGAGGGTACACATAGGGGAGAGTACACATAAGGAAGGTACACATAAGGGAGAGTACATATAAGGAAGGGTACACATAAAGGAGGGTACACATAAGGGAGAGTACACATAAGGGAGAGTACACATAAGGGAGGGTACACATAAGGGAGAGTACACATAAGGGATACAGGTCATTATGGAGCTGCGGTGTGCTGTCCTCTCGTCTCACCCATCGTATGATAAAAGACACTGGCACTGGTAAAGGAAATCAGTGTTCATGTTATAGCGACACTGATTTTACTGAGGTTAGGTTAATGTTAGGTTAAGTTAAGTTAGGTTAGGTTAGGTTAGCATTATGGTCTTTAAACATTTGGCTAAAAAAAAAAGCTGGGGTGTCTAATCTTCAGGTGATCCGCATTTCCGTCTCAAAATTCAACAGGAAGAGATGAAGCTGAGTCAGTGTTTACTATAAGTGTCGACAGCGTAGACCAAACACTTGTGAAGCCATAACACCTTTGACCCAGGGACGGATGTGAGCCACTAAACCAAAATTGTACCTCCACACTTGTTTCTTGGGCCCCTACACCTGTTTCTTGGGCCCCCACACTTGTTTCTTGGACCCCCACACTTACCTGCTAGACCCCCTACACTTACCTGTTCGATCCCCACACTTACCTGCTAGACCACCCACACTTACCTGCTAGACCACCCACACTTACCTGCTAGACCACCCACACTTACCTGCTAGACCCCCCACACTTACCTGCTAGACCACCCACACTTACCTGCGAGACCACCCACACTTACCTGCTATACCACCTACGCTTACCTGCTGTCGCTATCAACTAAATCATGATGTTTAAACCAAGTGCTAGTTTTACTCTTCGTTGTAACCCTGTTAGGCTCATAAGAAAGTTCTAAGTTGTTTCGTATAGGCCTCCACAGATGTCAGCTGCTTCGTAGATGTAATTAGATTGTTTCATTCATGGAGTTCCCAAGATTACTAATATAGTGTATTTAAGAATTTCACGTTAAGTATTGAAATGTTGTCATTATTTTCAAACGATCTTACTGAATGGCTTTAAACAATCTGTTGAGACTCTTACATGACATATAAGTCTACATGATGTATACATGAAACACCAAGTTGTTTACATAAGTGTGACTTGTCGTCGTCTTCGAGTGAGTTTACCTACAGTCTGTACAACACATTAGTACAACATTATAGTGAATCACAAGAGTATAAGGATAATTTTATATAGTTTGTTTATTACGTTGTTTTGGTGTTGATGGATAATTGTGTTTTATCTCATTATGTGTTTTGTTTTGTTTTGTTTTATTAAGTTAATAAACTGAGTTAAACACAATATGAACCAAATTCTCAAAGTTTTTTCACAGGTGACTGACAGTTTGAGACACTAATGAGGACCGCTTTAAGAAGTGTTGTTTGAGAGGTTCATGACCAGCGGTGATATGTGTTCGTTTCAGTGAACTTATTCATATGGGATAATACAGTAGTCGTTATAAGTAGAAGAGTAAAGGTTTCTTATGTGCAGTGAATAACTTCAGTTGAAAAATTAGAAGTAATTACAAGGGTTCTACATCGGTGAATCAGGCATTTCGTAAATTCAGAGAGAGTTACAATCGAAGTCTTCTCACAGTAATGAGACAGGTTCATTCAGTCCTATGAAGCCCTGACACTTGGTTCGAGATGTTTTTCAGTATGAATGTCATGAATCACACACTGTCAGTTTCAGTGTCGCCGTTGTCGTGTTAACGAGTATTGCAGTGAAGAGTTAAAGTTAATAAGTGTCATCGTTGGCGAGGGAATATAAAATTAAGAGGTAAGTGGTGATCAACATGGGTTATATTTGTTGAAGTTAGTGTGTTAAATATGAGGATGTACAGAAGGCTCCACGGTGAGGCTGTTTAGTTGTTGTGGGCCGGAGTTGAGTCGAGTCCGAACAACCAACTGCAGAAACTATATGACCTTAGCTTATTCCTCTTCACTAAAACCCTTACCAATCACTCGACGTAAAACGCAAATCAAGTTTTGCAGATATGGAGTGACTGTCGAGTGTGACACATGATGCCGCACTGTTTATTGACTTAACTGTGAATGGCTTGTATGTGGTTTCTCCAGTTATGTTTATCATCAACAATAACTCCGAGGAATTTAGTATTTTGTTCACGTTTGAGGACTGTATTACCAAGGTACAGGGGGTCCAAGTCCGGGGTTAAGTTTTTCCTTCTGTGAAGATCTTGCAGTGGTTTTTCTCATGGTTTAAGGTCAGTTTATTACGTATCACCCAGGTCCTGACTTTAGTCAATTCAGTGTTCATAGTTCTCATCAAGGAATGGAGGTCTGAGTTGCTGGCATAGAGATTACAATAGTCTGCAAATAAGTTGCATTTTATGAGTGTGCTGGCATGGACTATGTCGTTTATGTACAACAAAAGCAGTACTGGACCGAGAATGGAACCTTGGGGGACGCCATACAAGATTGGCGAGGAGTCAGATTGGTGATTATTATAGCAGACATACTGCATCCTGTTGGACAGATATGAGGTAAACCAATTGTGGGACAGGCCCCTAACGCCGTAATGTTCAAGCTTTGAAAGGAGGATGGTATGGTCGACAGTGTCGAAGGCTTTAGAGAGGTCCAAGAATATTTTCGATTGTGAATTACTAACCTAACCTAAATCCTAATCTAACTTATCTTACCTGAACACCCATTTAGCGTTAGGTGTCGTATTACCTTCTGGAAATGACTTTTGGGAGATACCTACGTCACAAATTTTAAGTGAAATTGGAGTTACGTGGCAAACGGCACAAGTACCCAGCAATGTTAGGCTGTAAGATTTTGTCATCAGTCAAGAAATTGTCTTCACGAAGTTAACCCCCAGTTAATTTATCGCCACCTGCAGAGTTAGGTTAGGCAAGGTTAATTTACATTAAATTTGCTTATTATTGGCTAACTTGGGTTGGAATTTGGCCAGGTTAGTTAGAACAGACCGGCTAGATTAGATTAAGTTGGACCGAGGTTATAGGATAGGTTAGGTTAGATGAGCTTCGTTTGGATTTTAGACTAGGTTACGTTAGGGTTACGTTTTATCATTGCATAGGCGTTAGTTAATTTACAGGTTGGAGTTAGGCCATACTAGGGTTAGCTTTCAGGTTGAAGTTTGCGTCAGAGTGTTTTAGCATTAAAGGAAATAAGCTGGGCTAAACTTCTGCGTTGCAAAAACTTAAACCCCACAGCAATAATATCGGCTCATAAGTACTCGGTATAATTTCATTTAGTTCAGTATATCCGGTGTTTTATCATCCCCATACATGAATAACTCCTTCATGATGATGAGGTTTTCTCTGGACGTGGCCACCATTGACTTTGGGATCCAGTTGCCTTCAAGCCACTCAGGATGAGGTCTGATATACTGTATATGCATCTTCCTCACACACCTCTGGAGGTCATGACTTCTGTTTTTTTTTTTTTTTATATATATATATATATATAAATGCCAAACCGGAAACGCATTAAATCGGGCGCAGAATTTTTCAGGAAATAAAAACGTGGCTCAGCCATGATGGCTGAGAGCAAACTTTACATTAATCTTACTAAAATCCATCTAAAGAAACATCAACAAGCAATTTTTTTTATCGTGATCCACTGAGCATTTTATAATTAACGCGGATCAGAAAATATCCGTCTCAATATTTCGATTTTCTTTTCTTTTATATAAATGGGCAGCTGATGGCAGCCAATCACTGGCTCAAGAAACCTTCAGGGCAAGAGTGGGCGGAGCGCAGCTACAGTAGGCGGAGCTAAAATATCCGCGCAACCAATGAACTGCGTTTAGAAAAGAGTAGGCTGGGTTAATGGTGGTTCCTCCAATCAGATTCTTGGTTTTGTATTTTATTGAGACAACATTTGTAACGCTGCCAGAGAGTAATAGGAAGCTATTTTTTAATCAAGAACTGGTGGATGAGAGTTCATTACCGCCTGGCAGTTTGAAGAGTGTGTGTTCCATAATTCTCTGTATAACACGAGTGATTGATGAATTCGTCGTATTAAATCGGTGCCCAAATTATAAGATACACATGGAAGGTTACGTTATTATGTTAAATAAGGAAAGCTCGTATATATAAAATTTGATCATAGAAAATATCACACATCTGGTGCAAGGAAATCCCCAAAGACATTCCTTAGGACACATCGAGACATCCTGATGGTGACGGAGGGAGCGACAGAGGTGGAAAGGATGGACCTACGGCTACCTGCTCGCGGCCCCGCTACTACCAAGTGTAAGTATGCACACACTTCCCCTGTCTGCTTAATATGTATTTTGTGGTGTAAACCCCCTAATATAGCATACTATAGTCCCGTAGTAATAGTTGTAATATATACTTTATCACAGTGTAGGCCTATACGGTGTTATTTCTGAAGGCATAAACTAAATCTTTTTTTATAGTTTTGAATAAAGAAATTAGTAAAATGATTATATTATTTAATTGTAATTTGGCAAAGTCTTCCTCTGTATTTTCTAATTATTCAATTTGCAAGAAAACTGTGTATATGATGTGTTTGTGTGGAATGAAGTGACTCAGTGTACAACAACATATAGTATCTTGTCATATAACACCGAATTCCTAACATCAGCAAAAGTTGCCTGCTGCTTCACATAACATTAATACAAGTGCTCGGTGCTTCACATAAATTTAATACTGGTGCTTGGTGCTTCACATAACATAAATACAAGTGCTCGGTGCTTCACATAAAGTTAATACTGGTGCTTGGTGCTTCACATAACATTAATACAAGTGCTTGGTGCTTCACATAAAGTTAATACTGGTGCTTGGTGCTTCACATAAGGTTAATGTATACTTGCTTATAGTAAATATTAGGACTAGTGAACGACGGAGCCTAATAACCCTGTAAATGAATCTCCTCTTAGAAGAATGATTATTGTAAACATTGGGTCAGTGACGAGGGGAAAAAATCTATTATCGCTGTAATGATTTAAATAAGACTTAGTATAAATTTAACCAAGAAAATGTAATTGTGTGATAAGCTGCTATACACTATCAGATGCAGTTCATGTGACCTTATTTGACTGAACTGGAATAAAACACTCATTTTAGCTGCGTCACTGTAGACTAACTGACTTTGTTACTGAGAACAGAAAGGCAGTTAACGTCAATGTCCGAGAGTAGTTAGTTGTATGTTGAAGCATCAGACGAGATGAGTATTTGATACGGTAATTAGGACTCAATTACTGTATTGATCATCCTGACAACTGGAACACGAGAATAACAACGTCTCCTAAACGATGGTATACTGAGTCTACACACACACACACACACACACACACTCGCACTTATTTTTATATACCGTCAACCTGGTCCACACCACTGCCTGGCCAAGGTCACCTCCCCAGGTTCTACAGTCCTCCTCTTGCTGTTCCTGCTTATTTCATATCTCCAAAACTCGCTAATGGTCCGCCTGCTAGTGGGTTCTTCTAATGCTGTCTTGTAACAAGACTAAAATTGCCCTCAACTACTAATCTGTTTATTTTGAATTATGGCTTATTTGGTATCACTTCTGCTCTTGGAATAATTTTTCTCACTAGTTTGAGATATCATGTATTCGTTTCTTTGACTTCGCCTCCAAGTTAGGTCTCCCGTACGCCTTTTGTGAGCCTGTAGTTTCCTTATTCTTTATAATATTGAATTTATAATGTACAGCAATCAACACTAATGGCCCGTGCTGATAAATAAATACTTTAATTCTGAGACAAGAGAGAGGCATGTTGCTGTCAAACACTTTAATGGTTAGCTTACTAAATGCACTTCTTATTTATTTTCTGCTTTGCTTTTATACCGACTTAAATCTCCATACAGAATAATGGTCCCGTGGCATTCATTAGTTTTACTCTCTTGACTTTTTGATCTGAGAGACTGTAAACCAATTATAAATATAACCTAATCACATTTACATTACATCTCCTGTGTTATTTATTAACTACAGTATTTGATGTATAAATTGTACTGTTCTTATTTACCTCGTGGTTTAACTAATCCCTGTTTCATCTCTGTTTCTTTTATAAACTGTAAAGAACAAAGAAGAAATAGTTCCTTACTCCTGGACGTATACTGATGTCTTAACGTGAATATTTTCCCTTCTCTTTGTGTAACCTAATAGTGATTGTGGGTATAGTATTCATGTATAAGTCAATAACATCAATAGAAGTCAGGTATTTGGAGTTATATTCCCTATTATCTCGAGATATACTTACTAGGTATGTTTGTATCTATTGGTTTAAAGAGTTTTCTATTTCGAAATACTAATTTATTCCAATTTGTATCCTGAGAAAATCTATAATAATTGATAATTCATTAAATAAACGACTAATAATTAACATCACTTCGTCTATAGTCCGAGATGTGGTGATAATTAATTGTGTTATGAAGCCGCCACGACAATAATTACCCCTGGGCTGACCTCTTAATTTCCTGTTGGCCAGATTCGGTCAATAATTAACTCGAGGACTCACGTGACCTACATCTGGCCACACGCGTGAGAAATTACCGAGTGTGTTGTGTTGCGAGAGTTTTGATGATGATGATAATTAGGATGGGAAAGGGAACAGAATGGAACAAATGAAACTTAATTTAACGTTTTTATTTATATTCTATTTTTTTAATATAATCTGATATTTTTTTTCATAAATATCCAGTATTACAAAAACTCAGTTAATAATATTTTAATTTCAAAGTATTTTTTACATGAATCGAAAAAAAATTGAAGATTAGGAAGATAACAAGGGAATGAAAATAAGTTAGAAAGGATAAGAGTAAATACCCCCATAAGCTGCTATCCTTGTTTCCGCCCCAGGTAAGTCACGTGACCGGAAGAGACCTAAATGGGTGTACTTGCCGGAAGTACAGTATAGTGATAATGGACGTTGGCTTCACTCTTCAGCTCACTACTGATGGGAATACTTTAACGCACGTGTCGCCTCTAATGAGTATAAACTTACACCTCCTATCATTTACTGGAGTTACTCAGTTGATTAAATGAGAAGAGGAGTTACCAAAAAACCAATAAGTCAGATTACTATTTACTTACACACTAAAATTATTCTTAGTACCACCAGTTGTTTGAATGTGTTGTTAAAAAATAATGTCAATCGGCTTGAATTTTGTTTTCTCTTCATATTATTAAGTTTATGGAGGTGTGTCGCCAACAGGCCGCATCCTGTACGATATCCCCTGCAAGGTGTGTCAGGACCACTCGTCAGGCAAACACTATGGGATCTTTGCCTGTGATGGCTGTGCTGGCTTCTTCAAGGTACGTCACTTCCTAAGACTTTTGTTTATTATTTCATTCATTTCACTCATTTCATTCAGGAGTTTTAAAAAGATAGAAGAGAGATGTTCAAGGATAGAAGGTGTTTATGGATAAGGAAGGAAAGGAAAATACCAGATGAATAAAATCACAGAGGATGGGAAGAGACAAGTAAGTGGTGTATAGGTACGAAGAGAAGAATGGATGACATACATTATAAAAACAAAAGTAAGACTAGTGATAAAAAAAACATTGTTGGTGAATCAAGAGTTGTAGTTAGTGAAGCATGGGGGTGAAGTTATGAAGCAGTAGATAAAGAAAGGTTATGAGAGAGTTTTGATTTTGGTTCCTATATAAAAACAAGAGACTGGGGAATGAGGGGGTAAGAGTTTAAGGGAGTAAAGTCTGTACTATAGTAGATAAATTAGATTACATAGAAGAGTTACACCCCAGCTTATATCACCTTAAGTTTAACCACCTTAACACTATACTAATCTAATCTAACCTAATCTAACTCTATTATCCGAGATGTGTTAATGTGTTATAAAGCCACCATGACAATAATTACCTCTGACCTGACCTCTAATGTCCTAACCTAACCCTCCAGGTATATCGCTAAGTTGTTTAATCATCAGGAGACAGCTGTAAAAAAGGAGCCAAATCTTCATGATATCGGATAAAATATATGGAGGGATATTGACTGATCTTCTAAAAAAACACAAACATTATATAATAGTATAGAGGTGACAGAGAGAAGCTATATGACAGGGAGAAAGTAAAGAGAAAGATCCTATAGATGTTCGGGCTATTTTGCTAGCGGCTATTATAAGGTTTGTCACGGAAAATAGCCGCGTGAGAGAAGTCTAAACATAATAGGTGGTGTGACAGTGGTGTGAGGAATGTGCTGTAAACCCTGGTATTGTGTGTGTACGTACCCGAGTCATTTCATACGTGACAGTGTTAGCGTTAATGAACTGTCACCTCAACTTAGTAAGCACACTGAACTGATATAAAGTTTTGTGAGTTAAGTTTGCAGGTAAAAGATATGACTTAAGGTGTGTTTGGATATATCTAGTTGTTACCAATAGCTCCTCCTTGTTGCTTCATAAACGTCTTGTACCACTCTTTTCCTGTTCTGTGGATTATAACTGAATATATAATAAACTAACTACACTAGAACCAATTGATATTAAGTCATAAATTTCTGTTAGGTCATCACTTTTATCTCCTCTACTTTAAAAGCTAATTTATGACATTTTATTTGCTCTCCAAAATTTTTATTGTTCATTAGTTTGATGCACCAAAGCACCTGTTGGGCCACAGTCAGTCAGTCAGTCAGTCGAGACACACTCAAGTGCATGACTGATATTCGTGCTAGAGCCAGTCCATCCATCCTATCAAGCCCTTACCGTCAGAAGAGTAAAATCACCACAGAGGAGTCAGTTCCATTTTATGGTGTCGAACGAAGCTAATTACCATATTGAAATCAACTCGCACGTCAAATTGAATGATGAACTGTCTAACAGGTGAATCCTCTCCCCGTGGCCAGTTAATTTACTCCCTCAGAGACGCAGTGTTGTACAGAGTTGATCACTGTGGTGTGTCCAGTGTCTTACATGATTAATAGCCATAATGACGTTGTCGTTTACTTAGAAACTCGTTAATTCGTTAAACTTAATGTTTATAGTCTCAAACCATAACATAATCTTATAAGAACTCGACTGTTGGAGCATTTTAAGCAACTGTACAATCAATTTATTTCTTTGGGTGTGAGTGACAAGTGGATTAAAATCGCTCTTGGGAAAGTAACATGAAAATCAGCTGTGATAGACAAAATTATTTTAAATATTTGGGTGAAATTATTTTATCCGTAAATGTTATTCGGTTGAGTGTGTACATTTAGAGAAGAGCTGGACACTTCTGCTGGTCATGACAAGAAGTGACCCCCATGCAGACGTATCATATCAATATCTATACGAGCACCTCACGTTTTACACCACAGTAGTCGAATTAAAAATTATTATTGTCATTTACTAGTCAGTAGGTATGTGGTCCTTGCTAAGTTTATGCCATAGATGTACAATGGAGATGATTTACGTAAAGGCGATTCATCACTTACTGTGTTATGTGTTAGGTGAAATTAAATAATATCTTTTACATCGAAGATAATATGAATAATGATAAATTTTATGTTAATATTTATACTCGTTTGTAGGGAATCCTGTCACTATGGATTGATATTCACAAACACAAAGTTTCATATAACATACATAGTTTATCTAACGTATGAATAATGTGCGACTTTTTCCGGATTATGAGAAGTGACAACAAAACGCAGAACGACAGAAATGGGACGATCATAAGAGAATTAATGTACTTGTAATTGAATTCTGGCTTCTGTATCAGGTTATCTATGTCTGCATCTATTCTAACTAAAGCACAATGTTCGTACCTCATCTTCCTGCATGACACGCTGCCGGGAGAAGGGGAAGTTCAGTATATTAGAGAACTTTCTTATAGAACTTATTTGAAGGTTGTTTAGTGGCTGTAGTAACCACTCATCTATACAACACTGTCCTTCAGCCACACATACACTGTTGGTCACGTTCTCTCTGCTGCCTTTACTAGCGAATTTAAAGGATATCTTCCAAAGTCTCTTACTTGATATGTGGCTTAATTGTTTCTTCAGTTGTCTTCAGTGGTTTTTGGTTTATGTATAATGCGTGTGTATATTTTCCTTGTTATTGTTAAGATACAACAAAAAATCGAACAATTAACAATAACTACTAATGTATTTACTTATTTACCCAACAGAGGTCGATCCGGCGACAGAGACAGTACGTGTGTAAGAGCAAGGCTGAGGGTGGGTGTTTGGTAGACAAGACTCACCGTAACCAGTGCCGCGCCTGCAGGCTCACGAAATGTGTTGAAGCTGGCATGAACAAAGATGGTTAGTCTAATTTCCTTGTGTTTGTTTTTACAGGGGTGTGGGACGTATTCATCCTTTTTCAAGAGATGATATATGTTGCAATACCACATTGTATTTTAATGATTATTCGATAGTAAAATCAACGCGTAGGCCTACAGTATATAGCAACATTTGTCTTATGAGAACAGAATTTAGGTTTAGCTGTCAGGGCGTTCTCGAGGAAGGTCTCATTGTAAGTGGCACCTGGTCACTATGAAAGTCTTTTTCCTACAGAAGTAAAAATTAAATACGTAAATGTCTCAAGCATGACACGGTCCTATAGTTTCAGCTGCCATATTCTGTCGTAACCGAACGAGACAAAGACCGCTTCATGTGGATTGTACAGTATTTTTATTAGGATTATTTCCGAGTCCCAGAGCGTGTCCCGGCTCTCATCAAGTACTGGCCCCTGCTGAGTCGTGTGAAGACCAGTGTCTCTCTCTTGTTCCATAACAAGTAGTTGCCAAGACCAAATGATACCATTATTCATCTTCTTACAAACATGAGTATACAGTACACGAGTATACACTGTAGTATATTCTAGGAAATATGTGTTTTACATAACTTTTCTACATTAGTGGTGGTAAACGTAAAGCAGTTTAGAGAGGATGATACGGTGACTGTGGACGATTAGAGGAAGTGTGGAGGGAGAGAGGGTCCCGTGGGAGCCATGTGGGGAGAATTGTACCCGGGGGACTGGAGTGTTGTTTCAGGAGCCTCGGCCACCATGACGCCCAGCCCCGCCAGTGTTGTGACTCCCCATCACCACTTGGTTTCTCACCCTTTACAATAGTGTTTCATAACTGAAGAAGGTACTCCCAAGTGGAAAGACTATCATACATTTCGGCCACTGGTGGTACGGTTTCGTACATTATTGGTCTGTGTTGGCTCCTCCACGTCTTGTATACAGTTTTCAGTGTTTGGTGTCCGTACTTTTTTGCTTGACTGTATCTGAACTATCTCCATTGTGAGTCCTTCCTGTGTGTTCGCCGTGTCCAAAAACAGCGAGTCCTCGCTGTTCTTTTTCATTGTGCCGTACCTTCGCTGTGTGTCCTTTGAGCCTTCCTTGTGTCCACACTGTCCAAACTGAACCCGTACAGTTGCCCCGCTTCCTCTTTTTCTGTTGTGAGTTCATCCTGTGTTTTCACACTGTGTGTCTTCCAGTATGTGGGTACTGTGTGTCTGTCCCGTGTGTGTGTGTCGGGAGCTCATATGGAGCACCTCTCAGTGGCCTCCACCCCCCACCGGGTGACCGTTAAGAGAGCAGCACCTCCCCTCGCTCCCCTTCTCCCACCCTGTAATTACGGTACCCAACTCTTGTAGCTTACACACACGATCCCTGGCTGAGTGTTTCACTACCAGTTATACTACAACAAAAATATATAAACTTAGAAACTTTAAGCAATATTTACTATCATATTTATTAAGCCCTTAAAAGTACACGACATAAGGACTCCAGTTAGCGAGGGCAGGCCGAGCAGTGGCTGAGGCAACATTTAGGACACGCCTCCCGTGACAGCATAATAATCGGGGGTAAGTGGTTGAGTTTGAAGCCGGGTCATGTTACGTGGTTCCTCTACCCTCATCACTAAAAAGCCACGCTGCCCCAGCTATAGGTAAGGGATTGTCTATTCTATAACGTCATGTATGCAATTTCCAAGATGATTTTAATAACAAGCTAATAGATCTCTCGTACCGAACTACCAACTTCAGTTACAGCTGTTGTTGTATCCCGCCTTGTAGCCAGCCCATAGTGTTGATATGAATGGTTGAGGGTGGGAAGGCACAGAAGAGAGCATCGCCGCGGCCATCTCATGAGCACTGGCCTATCAAGTCCTTCCCTCGCCTTGTACACATGCTGTGACGCCCCTGAGGGAGTAGAGATCGTATGATAAAATTAGTGAACTATATTACACGGTGACGTTAACCTACATTTTATGAATCTGTCGTTATTTGTATATGAATGTTTAGTAGGTTTTTGCAATATGGCGACACAACACGACTAACACCCATAACCCTATATAAACATAATGGAATAGCGGAGGAATATTAGAAATTTACGATTGAGTTGAGAAATGTTTATATTTTCCATCAAAGATATTAAAGTATTTACCCTTTTGTGTTTTATCACTTCACGATCGTTAAAAAGAAAAAGTTGTAGTAATTTCATTTTTCGCTTCCTTTCTGTCTCCCTTAAAACTATGAGGGAATTTTTCGCGTGTAAACATTAAGGTGACCACGAGCACAGTGGGTCCAGAACTGTATCTTCTTATAAGGTACTAGGAAGAAACACCCAGTTCTGTATTGTGCATCGAAACTAAATATTATCAAGCTAAAAGTGTAAGTATTAGCTTTATTTATCTGAGCCATCTGATGAAGTATGTGTTGTTGTATAATGTATACATAATTGCCATAAAAACCACTGATGAAATATATACATAAAAAAATTATTGAAATGTGTCATGGGTGTTTTGTTTCTTTTTCTACAGCCGTGCAACATGAACGAGGACCCAGGAATTCTACCTTGAGACGCCAAATGTCTTTGTATTTCAAGGATCCCAGCCCTGACTCCCCGCCCACCCGTCAACGAAGCCCCACACCGCCCGAACCCATACACCCACGAACACCTACCTCTACTGTCTCTCAAATGCCAGTCATGTCAGTCAGTGCTGCTCTATCCCTTCCGTTTCCTCCTCCTCAACCTATACCGTCAGTCTTGAACCTGAAGATGAGTGTTCTTCCTCGGCATCATCAGTCTACTACAGCTACCAGTAGTACACACTTTGAGTTCCCTCGCCACCCAGCAGAGTTCACAGCCCTGACTTTAGACCGTATGCATGTCCTCACAAGCCGAGCCAACACACTCCTCGCGCCAACACCCAAGGTAAATAGAGTTTAATTCATATGTTTATTATTTAGTGATTGAGTGTAATAGGTTTTCTAAACATCCTCAACCTAGCGGCAGTCAGCAGCATAGTCCTTTTTTTTTCAATTCGAGATCCAAAATGATTCATATATTTTAGGACGTGAAATAAAAAAGGAGCCTAAATATTTGTAGTAAATCGAATAAAGTCATTTCAATACGAAGAATATTTATGTTCTTCATAATGATATGATTAGACCCTATAGTTTCTGTAAATGGGAAATAAGAAAATTATGTAATTTTGGAATAATCATTAATAAGGTCACAAATCTAATGAGAGGAAGTAAATAAGAATGAAATAGTTCAAGTTATTGTGAATATTAATGTTAAAGTTGTGCAGTACCCACACGAGCTGGCGCTACCGGTGCTGACTTCCCCGGACACAGTGTGCGAAACAGCGGCCCGTCTGCTCTTCATGAACGTCCGTTGGACCAAGCAACTTCCTGCCTACACTGCCCTTCCCTTCAGAGACCAGGTGTGTGAAATGATGTCTAGCAGGGAAAGGGTTGGCTTATATATTATAGATTCAGAATTTTAGATATACAAATACTTACCATAAATCATATCTTTCCAGCCTTAAACAAGTATTAAAGTTTATTCTAGGTTGTTTGATCAATTGTCTGATGTATAATTTATGCCTAGAAATTTATATTTACACTTCCATGAGTATACTTACCAGCCTTTACTTCTCGAGGACTTTTTACATTACCTGCATGCAGTTGATAACCAATTTTATATTCTTGTCATTCGTTCAGTCACTTTTTTTTCCTTTCATCATTGGGTACGATGATTTAATCCCTTGAGTACGATTACGACACTTTTAGTACAGTTTCGTGGGATTTAAAGGCATAGGTCAAGGGGTCCAAAGTTTTAAATCGTCGTACTCACAGGGTTAAATCGTACTCAAGAGGTTAAGATATTCTACAACGATTCCATCCACTCCTGGACTCGTTCTTACATTTTCCTCACTACTCATTATTTCCAGTTTTAACTTTGCACTTTTCATTCCTTTCTGTAGCTAGAGGATAATTATCTTTACCTCTCTCTCACCTGTTCCGTAGTTCAACATTGGATCGAATCATTCTTCCCAACACTCTTCCACTCCAGTTTCCCCCACAATAACTCTCCTACTTCATCTCTCTCATACATACATACATGTTTATTTCAATTTTCCTGAAATGTGTTTCAGTTGTTGTTGCTGGAGGAAGGTTGGCGGGAACTGTTCGTCCTCTCAGCCGCCCAGTTCTTGTTACCCGTCGAGGCTGGACCTCTTCTCGCCTCTTCAGGGCTAAGTGGCGAGACTTCCGAGCGCCTCCTTCCCATACTACAGGATATAAAACTCTTCCAGGACATTCTTGCAAAATTCAAGGCTATTTGTGTCGACCCAACGGAGTATGCTTGCCTTAAAGCCATCGTTTTATTTAAGACAGGTAAGACAACTTCTGGGTCAGTCTTATCAAGTATGTGTGTTAGAAAGTTGTGCCACTAGACTGTTTTGTTTTTTAATATCTACTTTGAGGTAAATAAAACTATAATAACTGTTGCCCTGATAAATGTTCGATAATGTCACGTTTTAGTTCAAGATTTCATGTATTCTCTTCGTATACACAAGTAATAATTTTATATTTTATGGGGACAGTGTGGGAGAGTGGAGGTGTAGAGGTGAAAGGTGTCCGTGACCTTGGCGCTGTGGCCGCCCTTCAGGACCAGGCTCAGCTCACCCTCAACAAATACATCACCACCGCCTACCCAACTCAGCCCTTCAGGTAAGTGCAGTACCGACTACCATCCTCTCACTTGTTCGATAATACTTAATCCAAAATATTTTCATCGTGACTTACTGCTTCTTAAGGTAGGTGGTGTGGAATGTTTTCAAGATATGTGTGGTCAGTGCACTAACCACTTGATATCTTGTCTCCCGTATAGGTTTGGCAAACTGCTGTTGCTGCTGCCGTCCCTGAAGGCGGTGGGATCACGTACCATTGAGGAACTCTTCTTCAGAAGAACAATCGGCGCCATCCCTATTGAGCGAATCATATGCGATATGTACAAGACTGCAGACTTTTGATATTGGAGAATAAAAAAAAAGTGTTAGAAAAACTAATGTTTATATTTTTTGTACGAAATATAGTAAATATAATGAGAGAGTTAGTGGAGAAGAATCATTATTTATCTACGAGTAACTAAGCTGTGGACTACATAAGTAACACAGATAATTTACGAAGTGAACGGAAGTTTAAGAAAGGTTTAGAACTATTTATGCCTTTAAAAGGATCTGGTGATTTTTCCGTAACTATTTCTTTTACATTATAACAGTGCCTTCCTGCGTGTGACAGTTTATTCCCATAATATTCCTTAAAGAAGAAGTTTTACCTGTGACTATACTATTCACCATTGGAAGACTTACTATAGCGTTGGTATCAGTTTATAAATGTTCAGAATCGCTTAGATGGGTATTAACAATTGTCACACATCAGTGCTAATAGTGCTTCTCTCTCCTGGAATATTAGATATATTAATATAGTAATTCTCACCCAGTGATGCATGTTATAAATATTGTTAGATTCATTGCGGCTCATGCTGTAAGGTTAAGCATAATCTATATACATATATATTATTTTATTCTTTTTGCTACACTGTAAATATTATAATGTTTCCAGCAACAATGAATAAAACATAGATGGTTTTAATGACGGTATCATACTCCCTCCCCCAGAGATTGAAACAGAAAAGAAGAAATATTAAGTTGATCAAAAATTTTACGTAAAAGTGAGACAAAACATTCTTGGGACAAAAGGAATATTAAATTGATATGATCTCGAGAATCAATAAAATAACATGATTATTTTTAGTATGTTCATATTTCTACCTTAGTATCGTATTGTCTCATCAGTTTTACTCGCCAGGCATTACATTGTCTTGCCCCCACCCAGGACAATTCAGCAAAGCAACAATAACTTAGTGTACCGAGTATGGGTCGCTTATACATTGTTCATGAACTTCCACAGTTGGTGGGGTGTGGTTGTCACGAGGTTATATGGGTTTGATCCGGTCGGTAGTGGTGGTGGGACGAAGAACATTTGGTGGGAGCAGATGGCGGGGATGACGATGGTGTAACATGATAAACTCACGCTGGTGTAATAAAAGTAGAGGAATGATCTTACACGCTATTTCTCTGTTTGGATGAACAGTTGAAGTTATACAATGTTGAAGAAGTGATCCAGAGTACAATGAAAACCTCCATTATAGTGGACTTCCCCTTTTATGCAATCCGTTAGATGAGGTTTTCACATCTAACAGACTCGATAGAGCGGACTTTTTACGTCTATGTAGGTTATTAGATGGAGGTTTCTCTGTACAGCTAGAGTAAGTAACTGTCCTAAGGTGGTTACAAAGAACTGGTGTCATTTTTAAGAGTCAGGTGGTGATGGCGTGGAGATGGTAACATATTGAAACAGTTTATTTAGCCAGAAAACACAGATACAGAGTGGATAATAATAACAATATTAACATGGCTGAGCCAGTTGAGAGCCCGAACTCTCCTGTAGGCACCTGAGATATACTATACATTTATCTCAAGGAAGTATTATGTAACATTTAGTAACATCTGGAACAGTACACGTAACATGGTGGTAGTAAGAACATATAAGAATGTTACCATGGTTATTTACTTATTTTTTTGCATTTATATTATAAGTATATACATAATACAGTGTGTCAGATGGTGATGGTGTGGCTGATGGTGATGGTGTCATATGGTGGTGGTGTCAGGTTGTGATGTGTCATAGTTACTCACTGGTTAAAATACGATGAAATAGAGAATGACTTTATCATCTTACACTGAACGACAACATCTCAAAGGTAAACTCGTATGATAAACACACCCACATAATACGTAATGTAAACTAAATACGGTATACTTTCTTTTTTCTTCACAATTCACTATTTTCTTGTCTTTCATATTGTTTTTTTTTGTTTTTTTTACATTTTGTCCCGTCAGAATATGGCAAACTCTTCCAAGAACTTACGATATATATATGAGTATACTATTCGGTTCACAAGAAATTTATGCATATTAAAATCCAAGAGTGGAGGTCATATATGAATCTCTCCTAATAGACTCTGTCCCTGAATAGACTAACTCCCCTATTAGACTATCTCCCCTAATAGACTACCTCCCTTAATAGACTATCTCCCCTAATAGACTATCTCCCCTAATAGACTCCCCTAATAGACTATCTCCCCTAACAGACTATCTCCCCTAATAGACTATCTCCCCTAATAGACTATCTCCCCTAATAGACTCCCCTAATAGACTATCTCCCCTAATAGACTATCTCCCCGAATAGAACTATCTCCCTTAAGAATGGGAATTGTTTCGTCTTCAAATCTCTCTGTATCTGTCGGAGTGAGTGAGTGAGTGAGCCGGGTTTATTGCGGGCATTGAAATCACCACCAAATAATAACAGCAGTACAGTGGCTGATAGAAAGGATCATTTTAGTGTTTGTAAATTGAGAAATAAACACAGGATTCATGTATTTTAATAGCAGGGTCATAGGCGATGTACTAGTTGGCATCGTCACTACACTATACACTACACGTCACTACACTACACGTCACTACACTACACTACACTACACCTACCGTTCCCGGATAGCATTCCTCCGGTAGATGATTTAGAAGAGAAATTGTAGACGTTAATGAATGAAGTTTGGAAGAATTATTAATAAAAAAAAGTTGATAATACATGTGAACAGAAACCAAGTGATGAAAATAAACAGAAAAATTATACCAAGAGAAATGAATGTTGGTCTGGTAACAACGGATGAGGTATAGACCATGTTTGGTGGTGTATCTGGCTATACACTGTGGTTAATGTCCTTATCATACACTCTGGTTACTGCTTGAGCTTTACATTAGGATCTATTCGTTCCACTCTTCTGATACTGTCATCCTTGATAACCATTTACACACAATGTAACTTAACTCAATTGCTCTCCTCAGACACGTATAGACAGAGAGACTTGTAAATGACCTCACACACACATACGAAAACAAACAGTATAGATTATGTTCCTCATTACATTGTTGTGCTTAGGTTCACCTGTGTCTTTTAGCATCACCGCCTGAGACTTAACACACTGATGCCATCACTGATATAACACCTGAGCCATGATTAAGAGTAGTAGAAGTAATACGGGATAATGAGTCCCAGGTCGTCTCGTGTGTGTGTGTGTGTGTGACGGGATCATCCATCAATTGAGTGTGAATGCTTATTATCGTCTAATCATTACAGTGGTATGTGGTGTGGTAATTGTTTAATATTGTGTGGTAGTCCTGTGAACATTGAAGGTTTGTTTGTATGCATGCACAACACCTTTACCTATTGTCGTCTTGTAACATTTGTACTGACTCTTCTCTCGTGCAGTTCTTCCTAGATTTATTATACTAAATGAAAATATATCACTCATAGGACGAACTTATGTGTCAAAACACGACAAAATTAAAGTTGAAATAGATATCTGAAATATATCATCTTGTAATAGTAGAACAAGACGGCATGAAACATATCCTCTCACCAATATATGATGGTGTAAAATATATCCAGTAGTTGAGCTACAAAATAACTTATCTACATAATAACTGGGTTACATAAAAACTGAGCTATGTAATAACAAAAAATATAAAATACCTAAGCTACATAATCTCTGTTCTAAATAAGAATTGGATTACATGATAGTGGAGCTCCATATTAATCGGTTTGATATTAAATGAACTGAATAGTAACTTGGTAATGTTAGTTTAGATAATCCATTTATTTTTTTCTTTAGTGATCATTTTATATTTATCTACAGTTCAAAAGAATGGAAGGTTAGTTTATTATAAAAGAGTATAATTTTTACATGGCCAAAGGGATTATATTAAAATTACCCCCTCCCCCCCCCCTCCCTCCCCTCGATTAAACAGAAAGAATAGTTTTAGTCACAGTATATGTCATCAATGGTAAGCTCTCACACATACAGTTTAGACCGAGGTTGAAGACAAAGGTAAATATGAACCTTATCGGTGTCACTGTAAAGAAGGAACATTCAGAAGTGTTCGCTTAAATGGTGTTGGTCCTTCAGGCAGCGGCGCCCACCAGACCCCCTCCAAGGATTATGTTTATTCAAGATGGGCTTTTGTTTCGCTTGGAGGGCCCAACAAGCAGACTGGACATCACTAGAAAGGGGATAAAAAGAGAGGAGTCCATAAGTCCTCTTGAAAGTTAGGAGAGTCGCTGAGAGGGGTATTATGATTTGGAATTGTCATTATTTAGTAGATGAATAGCCTTCCCTTAGTCATCAGTGATAAAGGATGCTTTCCAGCCCAACTCCTTTTGATAATACCGGTTATGTTGTTTACTTTTCACTTCATTGTGTTGGTACTGAGGTAGTCTTCCAAGGTTCTATAATGCTGCTAATAATGACCTCTATACCAAACGGCATTAAGGGTCATATGAAGACCTATCATGCGAATGTAATACGACTTTGTATCCATTTACATAAGAGTAAAATAACATGAATGTTTATATTGTTCTAACTTGTTTTTCAGACTCCCATCATCTGCTGGTGCGCTGAATAGCGGTTTCATTCCCATCTCCTTTGTGTGTTAACCATTAGTCTACATTACTGGCATATATATATATATATATATATATATGTATATATATATATATATATATATATATATGTGTGTGTGTGTGTGTGTGTGTGTGTGTGTGTGTGTGTGAGGTGCTCCTGACGTTATTCAGTTAGGTCACCAGACGCTCTACGATCCGGTTATATTTTTCACCCTGAGCTCAGTATACTCAACTAGGATGAGCACGAGGTAAAATACTGCCGTCTCTATAACAGTTTATCGCGTGACAAGGAATAATTAACGATGAAGAGGTGAATAATTCCAACATACAAAATAATAATGTAGAATACTTATAAATGGCCAGTTTAAACGTCATTATACATTGAAGCTCAACCAAAATATGTTACTAAATTTTTAACTAACAATAGATTGTATAAAGAAAATGTACTGCGGCGCTGTCAGTAGTACAAAGTGTTACAAATAGTGACCAGGAATAACATACTGTAGTCACTATTAACAGTGTAGCATACAACAGTCAGCATACTGTACACTATGAGAGAGGGTCCCATAGTCCCGGCAACACAGAAGGTGCAGTGCAGATAGAACACTTTGTAGAGTGTAGACTAAGCCTTCTCCGACACACAAGGAACCAGAGTGGTCAGCAATGCACTCGAGCACTCTCACCTCACAGCTGCAAAGTTAAGTGCCTATTTACAGTGGTTTGGAATAGTGGTACTCCATGCGTGAACCAGCGTTGTATCCACTCTGCCGCGACACCCAACATATTCTGTGGCTAGTAACAGAAGATTATGACACAGTGGCTGAAGGAGTACAGAAAAGTGGTAAATTCAGTACAATATAAAATGGCAGAAGCACAACTCATATTTAACTGTTCAATATAATCTCTCCTGACTTTGATACACTTACTCCATCTGTCCTTCTAATTCACAATGGCAATC